GGGCCGCCCTGGTGGCACAGCGGTTAAGTTCGCATGTTCCACTTTGGCGGCCTGGGGTCCGCTGGTTCGGATCCCGGGTGTGGACATGGCACTGCTTGGCAAGCCATGCTGTGGCAGGTGTCCCACATGTAAAGTGGAGGAAGATGGGCACGGATCTTAGCTCAGGAGGGCTGGTCTTCCTCAGCAAAAAAGAGGAGAATTGGCAGCAGATGTTAGCTCAGGGCTAATCTTCCTCAAAAAAAAAAAAAAAGGAGGGGGGACCCACATGATCTGAATAGATGCAGAAAAAGCATTTGACAAAACCCAACTCTCTTTTCATGATAAAACACTCAACAAACTGGAATAGAAGGGAACTTCCTCAACTTGATAAACGGCCTCTATGAAATGCCCACAGTTCACATCAGATGTAGCAGTGAAAACCTAAACACTTGCCCCCTACGATCAGGAACAAGACAAGGATGTCTGCTCCCACCACTTCTATCCAACACTGTCCTATAGTTCTGTCCTTGAGGTTCTGGTCATGGCAGTTAGGTGAGAAAGAGGAACAAAAGACATCCCATTTGGGAAGAAAGAAGTCAAACTCTATTTGGAGATGATATGATCTTAGACACAGAAAGCCCTAAAGAATCTACACACAGACACAAAAAAAGTATTAGAGCTAATAAGAGTTCAGGAAAGTTGTAGGATACAAGACAATATGCAAAATTCAGTTGTATTTCTTTTTATTTTATTTTATTTTTTAAAGATTGGCACCTGAGCTAGCAACTGTTGCCAATCTTCTTTTTTTTTTTTTCTGCTTTATCTTCCCAACCCCCCTGTACATAGTTGTATGTCTTAGTTGCAGGTCCTTCTAGTTGTGGGATGTGGGATGCCGCCTCAACATGGCCTGATGAGCAGTGCCATGTCCGTGCCCAGGATCTGAACCAGCGAAACCCTGGGCCACCGCAGCAGAGCGCGCGAACTTAACCACTCAGCCACGGGGCCGGCCCCCTCAGTTGTATTTCTATACACTAACAATGATCAATCCAAAAATTAAGAAAACAGTTCCACCAAAAATAATGAAATACTTAGGAATAAATTTAACCAAAGAAGTACAAGACTTGCACACTGAAAACTATAAAACACTGTTGAAATTAAACCAATAAGACCTACATAAATGGAAAGACGTCCTGCGTTCATGGACTGAAAGCATTGCAGTTAAGATGGACTACACCCTGCGCTAATGCACAGATTGAGTACAGGCCCTATCAAAATTCCAATTGCTTTTTTTTTTTTTTTTTTTGCAAAAATGGGCAAGCTGATCTCAAAACTCAGAGAGTGATGCAAGGGACCCAGAATAACCAAAACAATCTCGAAAAAGAAAAACAAGTTGGAGCACTCACACTTTCTGAGTTCAAAGCTCACTACAAAGCCACAGTAATTGAAGCAGTGTGGTATGCCTGAAGGACAGAAAGAACAGTGGAACAGAATTGAGAGCCGGGAATAAACCCTCATATTCACCATCAATTGATTTTCTTTTTTTTTTTTTGAGGAAGATTAGCCCTGAGCTAACTACTGCCAACCCTCCTCTTTTTGCTGAGGAAGACTGGCCCTGAGCTAACATCCATGCCCATCTTCCTCTACTTTATACGTGGGACACCTACCACAGCATGGCTTTTGCCAAGTGGTGCCATGTCCGCACTTGGGATCCAAACTGGTGAACCTTGGGCCACCGAGAAGCAGAACATGTGAATTTAACCGCTGCACCACCGGGCCGGCCCACCTCATCAACTGATTTTCAACAAGGTGTTGAGATGGTTCAATGGGGAAACAATAGTGTTTTCAATGAATGGCGCTGGGACAACTGGATATCCACATGCGAAGTATGAATTTGGACCCACCTCACATCATACACAAAAGTTAACTAAACATGGATCAAAGATCAAAATGTAAGAACAAAAACTATAAAAACTGTTCAAAGGAAAAACAGGTAAAAAATCATTGTGATCTTGGATTAGATATGATACCAAGAGCACAAGCAAACAAAAGAAAAAATAGATTAATTGGACTTCATCAAAATTAAAAGCTTTTGGGGCCAGCCCAGTGGCGCAGTGGTTGGGTTCATGCACTCTGCTTTGGCGGCCCAGGGTACGTGTGTTCAGGTCCTGGGCGCGGACCTATACACTGCTTATCAAGCCATGCCGTGGTGGCGTCCCAGATCACAAAGTCAAGGAGGATTGGCACAGATGTTAGCTCAGGGACAATCTTCCTCAAGCAAGAAAAGGAAGATTAGCAACAGATGTTAGCTCAGGGCTGATCTTCCTCACCAGAAAAAAAGAAAGAAAGAAGGAACGAAAATGAGGAGACAATTCACAGACTAGGAGAAAATATTTGCAAATTGTATATCTGAGGATGGGCTAGTATCCAGAATAAAGAAGTCTTACAACTTAACATAAAAAGGAAACAATTAAAAATGGGTAAAGAATTGTAATAGACATTTCTCCAAAAAAAGATATACAAATGGCCAGTAAGCACATGAAAAGATGCTCAGTATCATTAAGGAAATGCAAATCACAACCAGTTCACACCCACTAGGATGCCTAAAACAAAAAAGCCAGATAATAAAAGTGTTGGTGAGAATATGAAGCACTTGGAACTCATCCCTTGTTGGCGGGAATGGAACATGGTGCAGCCACTAAGGAAAGTAATTTGGCAGCTCCTCAAAAAGTTACACAGAGTTACCATATGATCCAGCAATTCCCCTCCTGGGTATATACCTCAAAGAACTGAAAACATGTTCACACAAGATCTTGTACACAAATGTTCACAGCAGCTGTATTCATAATAACCAAAAAGTGGAAACAACCCAAATGTCCATCAACTGATGGATGGATAAACAAAATGTGGCTTATCCATACAATAGAATATTATTCAGTCACAAAAAGGAACAAACTACTGAAAGATGCTACAACACGGATGCACCTTGAAAACATGATGCTAAGTGAAAGAAGCCAGACACAAAAGGTCACATACTGTAGGATTCCATTTATAGGAAATGTCCAGAATATGCACATACATAGACACAGAAAGTAGATTAGCAGTTGCCTAAAGCTACAGGGAGTGGGGAATGAGGAATGACTGCTGTGGGGTATGGAGTTTCTTTTGGGCGTGATGGAAATGTTCTAGATTTAGATAGCGGTGATGGTTGCACAACTCTGTGAATATACTAAACACCACTGAACTGTATACTTTAAAAGGGTGAATTTCATACTAAATGAATACTATCTCAATTAAAAACAAAAGGAACAAATATTTTTCAAAGATGATCAGGACTTAAAGTGAGGGGGGTGGGCAATGCAGTAAAAAATACAATATCAAAAGAGAATAGCCCAGAAAATGTCTAGAGGGGATCAGGGCAGGCTACTGAGATCTGGATTCTTGTCCCAAGGAAACAGAGGCCGAGTCAAACAGCTAACAGGTGGTGAAGCCAGAGTTAGTACCCAGGTGTGTCTGTCTTACCAGCCCTGTGCTTGTAGCCTGCAGCCCTGCACAGTCCGATAGGAAAACTGCCAGCTATTGCAGCTATTGAGCGCTTCACGTGTGGCTGGGCTGAATCAAGACGAGCTGTGAGTGTAAAATACAGGCTGGGTTTGGAAGTGTTAGTACCATAAAAAGAACGTAAAGTATCTTAATAATTTCTTTATATTCATTACATATTGAAATCATACTGTTCTGGATCTATTGTGTTAAATAAAATATATTATTAATTTCACCAGTTTCTTTTTACTTTAGAAAACATCACTTCTAAAAAACTTTAGGTATGTGGCTCCCAATATGTTTCTATTGGATGCTGCTGCTCTAGAGCCCTGGATCCCCGGGGGCAGGGTAGGAGGGAGTTACATTGATTTATTCATGAAATAAAACTTCACTGAGCATCCCTGGCTGAACTAGCCTAAAGCTGATCACCAGGGGTGCTGGTTAAGCTGGGGAGGGGGTGTCACCTGCCCCTTCCATCCTCCAGGGAAGGAGGAAAGGCACGGGTGGTTCCCTTCCCTCTTGCGCGGGCAGGTTGACGCCTTCCTCACTAGATCCAGATGTGTCTGAATGTCTGTGACTAATTTAAAAATCTGCAAAGCATGGCGATTAAAAACGGCAGAAAAGGGTGGGCATCTTGTGTATTTTGACGAGCTTTACTATTTAAGCAGAACTCCAAGAAGCAGGACCTTCAAAAGCTTAGTCATCTATTCCAAAATACGTTTGACGATTGCACTTCAGACAGATCTGAGGATGGGCTGGGGTGGGGTCGAAGGAGGGTTAAAAATTGTAAGGTCAACTCCAGGAGAATAGAAACTTCGCCAAGTTCATTCTTGTACCCTTGCACCCGGAACCGTGCCGGCACACAGTAGGCGCTTCTTAAATATTTGACTGAGTTAAGGTGCAAAACTACGTGGATGCGAGGGTGAATTTTTGCAGGGGACGAGGCCCCTGGCTTTTGTCAGCGTCAAAGGAGCCTGGGCCCCCAAAGGGTTAAAACCCACTTAATTCGGACAGGGACATGAAATTTATTTGAAATCAATGTCAAGAATTGGTTGCTCTTCTTCTGGGGAGTCGCCAGACCTCGGCGTCTGGAATGATCTATGTGCTTAAAAATACCAGTCGCCACCATTTTCTCCAGGTAATTTTCCATCCCTGCCCCCACAATCAAGGGGAGAAAAAAGTAATTCTACAATCCTACCTAGCTATTAAAAAAAAAGAACAATTAAGCGGTCAAATAGCAAATCCCCAGGCGCTGCAAGCAAGGAAGAAGAAAGGGACCCTCGCGGGCCTCGGGCGCCGCCGGGACCCCAGCCCCCCAAAGTTTGCCAAGTTGCGGGCGCCGAGCGCGCCCGGAGGCGCGGGGCGCGGCCGCGGGCGGAGCCACCCCCTGACGCCGGGCCGCGGCGCGCCGGGCCGCCCCCTCCCGGCCCGGGCCGGCCCCGCTGGCTCCGCTCAAAGTTTGCGGCCGCCCCTGCGCCCGCCCGCCCGCCCGATGTATGGGTGATATACTGCAGCGGGTGTCAGGGTGAGGGACGGCCATATTTGCCGGTGCGGCCCGAGCCGTCAACAACAAAAAGTGCGCGGGAGCTCGGCGGGCGCACGGACGGGCGCACGGACGCCGGGGCCGCCTCGCCGCCGCCCGGCCTCGCCGCCGCCGCCGCCGCCGCCCTCGCGGCCCGGGCCCCGCGGCGCCCCGGCGCGCCCCGCCGCCCGGGGGGATGTCTTACAAACCGAACTTGACCGCGCACATGCCCGCCGCCTCCCTCAACGCCGGTGAGTGAGTGCGCCCCGCGGGCCGCGCGCGCCGCGCCCCAAGTGCCGCCAAGTTGGGGGCCCGCGCGCCCGCCCGGCCCCGGCTCCCGGGGGCCCGCGGCGGCGGGGGGCGGCGGGCACCGGGTCCCGGCCCGGGGCAGCGCGGCGGCCGCCGCCGCCATGATTCCGGCGCCCGCGCCGCCAAAGTTCGCGGGGCGCCCCGCGCCGCGCCGGGCCGGGGCCGGGGCCGGGGCTCGGGGCGCGGGCGGCCCGCCGTCCCCCCACGCCGGCGGCCGAGGGCTCGCGGGGAGCGCGGCGGCCGAGGGCGGGGGAGGCTTTTCTCTGCTCCTTTTTCCTCCGGCTTTTGGGCGGCTCGGCGAGGGCCCCTGCCGGCGGGAGTCGGGAGCGGCCGGGCCGCGCTGGGAGCGGGGCGCGGGGCGCGGGGCCCGGGCTGCCCTTGGGGCGCGGGGCGCAGGCCCGGGCGGGGGCCGGCTGCAGGGCTGCACGTGTGCGAGGCCAGGGCGCGCGCGTGCAGGGCGGGGGCGGCGGCGTGCCGGGTGCCGCGGCCCCTGAGGGCGCGGGGCGGCTGGGGTCACCGGCGGTGCAGGGGACGCGCTGGTCCGCGGGGCTCGGCCTGGCGCGCGGGCGCAGGGGCGCCCAGAGCAGGCACGCGGGAGGCCCCCCGGCGTGCGCCGAGCGAAAGAAGTTGGAGAAGACCGGGGGCTTCCGAGTGCCTGCGCGCGGGCGCGGGGGCTGCCCTTCGGCCCGGGCCCCGCATCGCGGAGCCCCCAGTGTGGGTAGACGCCCCCTCCTGCAGGGGTCCGAGGGGCCGTCCTCGCCCCTCCCTGGGGCTGGAGCGGGCGCTCTCCGGAAACTCCTCCAGAAGTTGTCCGGCAGCTTTAAGCTGTGCCCAGGGCTTCCCCCAGGGACCGAAGGAGACATGGGGAGGGGGCGGTAAAATTGTGGGGTTCGGGGGTAACCGGCTTTGTCTCCTCAACAGGATCCTTCTCCTTTAGGCGCTTGGTTGGAAACAGACTTCCAAAAAAGTGAGGCGCGTTGGGGGGGGCGCGGGGGCAGAGCCCTTGCGGGGAGGGGGTTGGCCTTGCTGGTCAGAAATGCCACGTTGGCAGTTGGCCGCAAGTTTGGGGCCTTGTCTCCAAACGTTGACTCTAAAAATCTGAAGAGGAACCCAGAAAAGCCGTGTGTATATATATAAATACGTGTATATTTTTTAACTCCTGGGACACAGATTTGGAGACTGGAAGGGGTTAAGATTGAGGGTGTGGATGGGGGGATAGTTGAATTGGTCAAATGTGGGCTCTGAGCCCCAAGAGCAAACAGCCACTATTTCCTCCAATGTTCTCACCTGCTCTGGGGTCTGCAGACCTTACAAAGACAGGCTCTGTGGCTCAGGCAGGATTTCTCCCTGCCTCCTTCGACTGTTTCTGGGGTGGGAAGCATTGAGGTCTTGGTGCCAGCCTGGGCAGATGGGAACTCTCAGGAGTGCCCTGGCATAGTTGGGGCAGGGGCCCTAAACTGGGACATTTGGGGATTGGGGTCACAGAGTGACAGGGGCACCCACTCAGGACCCCTGACACCCCGTTCTGGTCTGGCTAGCACCTGTGCGCAGGTTTTCTTCTGTCTCCTGTGGGGAATTCCAGGAGGAGTGCTGAGGTCCTTAGATCTCTAGTGTTTTGGTGGGGGGCTGCCCACCTCCTCCTGGACCCCTTTAGAAAGCCCTGATCTCCCCCTGCCATTTGCATCCAAGATGGACTCTCCGCTGCCGCTCCTCCGGCTTCCTTGTCATCATCCCTCACGCCCTCCAGCCCTGCCTCCTGCTCGCGGGTTGCCAAGCCGCGGCCTGGCCGGCGGTGGCAGTGGCGGAGTTAGACAAAGCCCCCGCCTCCCCGCCGGAGAACCCCCCCCAGGCGCCCCAAGTGGCGGGAAGGCCGCCAGCTCCCCAGGCCCAGGCCGCTCTTTGTCTGGCGTGGGGGCGGGGAGCTGCGCCTGGCCCCAGGAGCTGCTGGCCTCTGCCAATCCCTCCCTCAGCTCCGGGCCCTCCCTGGTCCCCGCACACTGCGCGCATTGTCTGCGATGCTCCGAGAAGGCCGCGCTCACACCCAGTCTGGTTTTCTCCCTGGCCTCTTGCAGCCCGACCCGCTGGCCCTCCCTGTGTCTGCAGGAAGGAGTGGGCATGAGTGGAACTTGGGGCCCTTCCTCCGCCAACTCTCTCCAGGACCATAGCTACCCCCCCTCAACACAGAGTAAGGGGTGGGCACTGGCACAGAATCCGGGTCACTTACCATGTCACCCAGGTGACTGAGCTGTTGCCCCACTTCTCCCCAACTCCAAACTGGGCGATTTCTCATTCCCCCTCCCTCAGCCCCCCAAGACCTAACCCCAGCACCATGCAAGAGCAGGATCTGGAGCCTTCAGACATTCTATTGGGAGCGTTGCCTCAAACAGATGGGGAAACTGAGGTGCAGAGAGGGAAGGGCCTTGTCTAACGTCACACAGCCAGGTGTGGTTCAGATGGACCAGCCCCTAGTCCAGGCCATGCTGGCAGGAGAGGAGATGGGACAGGGAGGCAAGAAACACAGTGAAGAGAGTACTGGAGGAGGGGGCAGGAGGTGGTGTGGAGCATGCACGGGAAGTGTCCAGCTCACCTGCCAGGGAGCAGAATCTTCCAGACGCCTTGAAGTGCTGTGGGATGATACACACCCGCCTGCCTCCCCCATACCCCCCATTTAGCATCCTGGCCTCCCAGGGAGGTGTGGTAACTTGTAGCGGGCATGATTGGAACCCAGGTCTGGGGCTGCGAGGCCTGAGCTACCCAGACCACACTCACTCCCACATCAGAAGGTTCAGGAAATTGGGGTTTGGCTGGTGTGGGGAGCTCGGCATGGGTGGGGGGAGCAGGGGGGTACCCACCCTGCCCCATCCCTGTGCTCTGGCCCCTGCACATCTGTGGCTGCCTTGGCCAGAGGTTGCAGACATGCTCGCAGTGTGTCCCTGTCCTGAGCAGCATGTTCCAGCAGTGCAGGCGGGTGGCAGCTGAGGCTCCTAGCAGCACAGTGATGTGGCCAGTTCCCACCTTAGAGGTGGCAGAATCTGTGTTTCCTGGCTGGGCATCCTGTGTTTGAACATAAACCTGGGCCCCCATGGGGATATCCAGGGCAGGCCTGAGACCGAAGAAGACATCTTGGGTACAGAGCTGTCCCCAGCTCCCGGACAGATGGACCTGCGTTGGGGTGTTAGCCTCTCCTGCGCTGTGTGGCCTGGGGCAACACCTACCCTCTCTGGTCTGAGTTTCTCTGTGGGGAGGGGCTCGGGGTTCTTTAGGGCCCCTTCCCACTCCATCAGCCTGAGCTCCTGAACTTCCTTCCTCCCCTGCCCCTCCCCTTGCCCACACAAGATGAGCAGCTGGTCGGTTTGGCCAGCCTGGCACCAGCTGTCCATCCCCGGGGCCAAGTCTGCATGGCCCGCTGTGTGCGTGCGCAGGAGACCATTTGGCTCTGGGGAGGCAGGCAGAGGGGGAGCTGCTCCTCGGCCAGACGTGGAGGCAGGCGGGCAGCTGCTGAGGAGGGCTAGGTAAATTCTCCATGGTTACCGCTGTTTGTTATTCTGCAGGACATCCTTTTACCCGCTAATGGCCACTCGGACGCCATTATGGGTCTGCATGCTTCCAGCTACTGAGCTGGAGCCGGAAAATTCCCTGCTGAGGACCTCCCCACCCCCCGTGCAAGAGACTCCATTCTGAGCCGGGCCCTGGCCCTGCATGGTTCCTCACCGCTAAGGGACAGTGTCTCTGAGTGTTGCAGTCTATAAGCAGGGCCTTACCCTCCTCTCTTGAGGTGCGAGACATCTGGGCATAGAATCAGACTGTCAAGAGAACATTACCCTTTCTGGGGAGGGGGTGATGGGCTCAGAGAGGTTGAGGGGCTTGTCTGAGAACACACAGAGAGGCCATGATATTCTCCAGATTCCTGCCTTTGTGTCCAGTGCACCAGTCTCTAGCCAGGGTTGGGTTGCAAATCTTCCAAACTCTCCCCATCTTCCTCACCATATAGTCCAGCAGAGGTTTGCACACACAGGAAGTCAGTCCGGGTGTGGACCAGGCTCAGTAGCAGGTGGGCTCCTGTGGCAGCGATGTGACTCTAGGTCATCAACCTCTGCAGAGCAGGACCCAGGGAAAGGGGACTGGCAAGGATTAGGCTGAGAATGGCAGCAAATTTCCTCTTTGGTACCAATCCTGACTGCATGATGGGAAGGACTTCTGTGATGGATTAGTGATGTCTGCAGTGGTGGTGGGTTTGAAGAGCAGTGGCTTGCTAGCTACATTTTATCATCAGTCATCTAGGCGGAGTGTAGGCCATGACCAAACCATAGGACAGGAGTGGGGTTTTTTTTTTTTTAAGATTATTTTATTTATTTATTTTTTGAGGAACATCAGCCCTGAGCCAACATCTGCCAATCCTCCTCTTTTTGCTGAGGAAGACTGGGCCTGAGCTAACATCCGTGCCCATCTTCCTCTACTTTATATGTGGGACACCTGCCATGGCATGGCTTGACAAGCGGTGCCATGTCCACACTCGGGCTCCGAACCAGCGAACCCCAGCCCGTGCAAGCAGAACGTACGCACTTAACCGCTGGGCCACTGGGCCAGCCCCAGGAGCAGGGTTTTTTATCCTGCAGAAAGACCACTGTTGGTGGCATGGGTCCTGGGCGGGGGGCCTGTTGCCTAATCCAGAGTCTTCATTTTGGGCACAACTAGCCAAGGCTCCGTGAGTCTCTGACTCTTCTCTCCTTCCCTGTAGCTGGGAGCGTCCACCCGCCCTCCACCAGTATGGCGACGTCCTCACAGTACCGCCAGCTGCTGAGTGACTATGGACCACCATCTCTAGGCTACACCCAGGTATGACAGCAGGGGTGATGCATAGTGGGAGGGGCTCTGGGGGTGGCCTGCGCCCTTAGGGGACCTGCTGCCCACTCTCCAGGGAGGAGAGTGGATGGAAGAGGCGAGGAGTAGAGATGATGGAGTGGGGCAGTCACCTGAGCCTCCTCAACCCAAGGCCCGGGCCTCAGAACAGAGGGGGGACCCCAAGAGATGGGAGGGGTGGGAGAGCCCCGCAGGCCAGAGGCCCTCAGAGCCGCAGTTCCTGCTGGGGCCACCACCCCGCCTGCATCCCTGCTGGGTCAGCTGGTGCCTGATTCCTGCGAAAGTCAGCCCTGACCTTGACTCTGGATCTGGGTTTGGACAGAGGAGAGGGGACCCCGCTCCCACTCATTCCCCACAAAGTCTGACCCCAGAAAAGAGGAACATGGGGCCCAAATGCTCATGGAGTCCACATGTTTCATTGTGGTCCCTGAATGAGGCCACTTAGGTTTACACCTGGTGCCACCACTGATGAGACTGTGACCCCCACTTGGCAACCTCTCTGAGACTCAGTTTCCTCCAGTGAAGTAGGGTGAACACTCACACCAGCCTCCTCGGGTTGGTAGGCGCATCAGTGGAGTCAGGCACAGCTTCAGCCATGCGGCACCTGCCAGGGCACTGCTGTCCCGGGGAGGGACCTGACCCGGCCCAGCCCTGGGTGTCACACACCAGCCGCCAGGTTCTTTCCTGTGGCCGGAACTCAGCCACGTTCTGAGGTTGCCACGGAGGCTGTCCCTTGGGGTGAGGGGGCGGCTCCCCGACCATGTCCCACCAGGCTGTCGTGTCCTGGGAGGAGAGGCGGGAGCGGGACCACCTGAAGAAGCGGTGGCAGCGGGAGGATGGGGGGAAGTGCAGCCTGGAGAGGAGGGAGGAGCAGAGAAGGAGGGAGGAGCACGAGGCCAAGAGGAGGTGCCAGGAGGATGCTGAGGAGGAGGCCACGGAGAGGAGAAGGAGGGAGGACCAGAGAAGGAGGGAGGAGCAGGCGAGGGCCTTTGGAGGGAAAGAGCCCCGATGGGAGGAGGGGGGAGGGCGGAGGGGGGAGAATGAGGCTGAGCAGGCGGCCTCGGCCTGTGGCCGGTGGGGAACCCAGCCTCCCTGATCTGGGTGTTTGCTCGGGGCTGTTGGTGGGGGTCTGGAGAAAAAGGATTTCTCTGGGGTGGGCCCTGCCCGTGGGGAGGATGGATGAATTTAAACACATTCTGGGCTCCATCCTGATGGTCTTTGGTGGCTTTTTTAGTCCTGCTGACCCCACGTGTGGCTTCCATCACGTCCACTCGCTCTGGACCCTCAGCCCCCGGGATGTACTTGCTCTTCCCTCCGGGTCCCAGGAAGTTCTCAGTGAGCCCTTTCTTGCTCACAAGCCAGTCCCTTTTTTCATTTGAGATGATAAAAGAGCTTTCTGAAGACTGCAGAGGGGTTTCTTTGAGTGTGCAAGGACAGGAGAGAGGGCCGCCCCCTGGTCGGCAGTGGTCCCTCTGAGGGGACGTGCCTGGCCCCAGCGGAGGCAGTGGCTCTGGAGCCTACCCGGGGCTCGGGCCTCTCCCCTCCCCTGCCCTCACTCTGGCCAGCACGTGGTGGGGTCCTGACCGTGGCGTTGAGGTCAGGTCAGGGTTCAGTCCACCTGAACTCTTTCCTTTCTGATCCTAGGGAAGCGGGAACAGCCAGGTGCCCCAAAGCAAATACGCTGAGCTGCTGGCCATCATCGAAGAGCTGGGGAAAGAGATCAGACCCACCTATGCGGGGAGTAAGAGCGCGATGGAGAGACTCAAACGTGGTGAGTCGTTTAGTCTTACCTGACGGGTATCCTGACAGGGCCTGCCTCGCTGCTGGGTGACCCCAAAGCACTGGCCCATTGACTGTTTGGAAAGGTTTTCTGGGGGAAACGTTGGAGCGTGAGGGAGGGAAGAGTCCCTTTTGCCACAGGGGCCCCTGTTTTGGCACAGAATTCCTGTGGGAGCTGGAGGCATCAGGCGGGGGCGAGCGGGTCTGGGATGCAGGCTGTCCCTGGGATCTGACGGGAAGGGGCCTGGCGGCCAGTTGTCTTCAGCTGGGGCTTCTAAGAAGGGCAGCCAGTGACCTTCCTCGCCCTGCGTGCTTCCTGGGGGTCCACCTGCTTTAAATGGAACCTTTGTAGCCAGATGCCGCGACACTGTCTCTTGTCTGCCCCGCTCCTGGTGGCCGACACCGGTCCCAGGGAGCCACGGGAGCCAAATACTGCAGGCTCCCTCCTCCAGGCGAGGCCGGGGACACGGGGAGCCGCGTTGCCCTCCAAGCCAGCGGGTGTGTGGGTCTGCCCTAGTCTGGGGAGGGAGAGGGAACCCTTTTTAGTTCTTCCATGATTGAAGAGGGAGGAAGGGCGGGAAGAGGACGCCAGAGAAAAGAAGAGAGTCCTCTCGTGCAGGTGTGCCTGACAGCTGGCTTCAGAAGGCAGTGGAGCAGGTTGCCACCTCAGGAGGCAGCGGCAGTGGAGGGAGGAAGGGGTTCTGTTTTAGAAGGGGCCGTTCAGAGCGGCAGCGGCCTGTGCGAATTTGATTGCAGGAGGGATGGGGGTTCTTCAGAAGGTTAGAGAAGCAACATGGGAGAAAAATGAGAGAACATTCTTTGGTTATAAATCTGGGGCATCAGGGAGCCTTCTGTTGAGGCTGTGACACTGCAGTGATAGTCCAGGACAGCTGGGACAGGCTCCCACTGAAAGCAGTGGGCTTCTGGGTGTTTATGAAGCCTTTGTCAAGAGGCTGACTGCCAGGCAAGGTTGGGTAGTAACAGGCCCAGGTGTGGGGAGGGGCCTGGCAGGCAGAGGTTGGAACCAAAGGGCGTGGGAGAGCTGTGGAGCTCATCCTTGATCCAACCCACGGGATCAGGGGCATTGCTTTGCCGTCCCGGCTGCTGTCTGGGGAGGAGGCAAGCGTCCTGGTAACTGGAGTGCTGGTTACCCGAATGAAAATCCCTGGGAAGGCGCTGGACCCCAAAGTCTAAAAGGCAGTCTGCAGCCATCCAGACACACCGGTGGTTGAAGTCAACACATGGACATCCCTAGTGACCGCTCTGGGGCATATCCTAGGCGAGCAGCCGGTCCCCCAGTCACCCTGACCACTAGCCAGGCCAGCCAAGTTTACAGCGTAGCAGGGTGAAAAGGGGTCACGAGGGCATGAGGGTGTCTGGCACATTGTGGATAGGTCGGCAAACTATAGCCGATGAGCTAGGAAATGGTTCTTTATAGTTTTTAATGGTGAAAAAAATATGATTTTGTGACGTGAAAATTACATGAAATTCAGACTTCAGTGTCCATAAATAAAGTTTTGTTGGAAGATGGCCATACCCATTGCTTCTGTCTGTGGCTACCTTCACGATTCAATGGCAGAATTGAGTATTTATGACAGAGACCATGTGGCCCGCAAGGCCTAAAATATTGCCGTCTGACCCTTTATGGAAGAAAGTCTTCTGAAGCTCTGAGAGGTAAGATTTGTGAGGTGTGGACGCCTAAGTGACTTGGGGATGTTATTCCCAATGCCCTCTGAGAGTCAGCTCTTACTGGGATAGATTCTTGATGTCTATTAAAATGAGATCAGTATATCATGAAGTTCCGTAAAGGCAAAAAAACACAAGCAAAAGATAACCTCCAAATCATAGAGATAACAGACGGGGGAGACAAAGGGCAGAAGGTGGCTCAGGGACCTGAGGAGGAGCCGTCACGGTGGACCAAGAGTTGAACACAAGTGAGTAGGAATCGTCCTGACCCTACTACGTGCAGGCCACCTGACATTTATCAAAACCTTTCTGGAGTTTAGAATATGAAGAAGCCAGAAAAAGTAATGATTTGAAGGCATGGAATCTCCAAAATGGGCCAGGCTTGAAGAATTGGGTGGAGATAACGTTTATTCCCGTCATCTAACAGCAGGTCCCGAAGAGAGAGCTTGCTGCTTGTCACCTGGAGTGCAGGAGGACATTTTTAGGGAGGCGTGAAGAGGAGTTTTGGCTGGGAGAGGTGGGATGGGACGTTAGTTAGTTAGCTTTGCACACCGCTCGCATCCCGGGGTCGTGGGCTGCAGGTGCCGAGTTCCTGCCGGTGTGCGGGTTTTCCGGCTGGTTGTGAAAGGGCCCTCCTCCTCCTCTGGAATGGGCTCTGCCCGACGCTTCCCAGCCTCTGCCTCTCTTCCAGGCATCATCCACGCGAGAGGACTGGTTCGGGAGTGCTTGGCCGAAACGGAGCGGAACGCCAGATCCTAGCTGCCTTGTTACAGTGGAAGGTTTTCCAGCTTCTTGCAAGACAGAAAGTTACAGTTCACCTCCCCTGTTCAGATGAAACTCTTGTTTTCAAAATGGTAACAGTTTGATTTCTCCTCCGCAAACCCCTCTCAGGGTTCACTAGGCTCTGAACCTATGGTCTCTAAGATTTGAGAAAAGATTTTGCAGTTGACTAGGATTTACATTTTAAATAGTTAGGAACTACCCAGGTTTTTTTTCTTTTTTTAAGCATTGGTTCAAAAGATGCACGTAAGTTACCTGTCTTACAGCAAACTGTAGTTTGCCTCCAAGACACCAGGGTCTCGCTTTCATCTTCTCTTCTGAATACGTTTATGTTACCCAGATTCTTTGTTCCTTGCACAAGTGACTACAACTCTACGGGATTTGTTCTCAGCATTCTGACAGCACGCTTTACTTAGTAGCCGGATGGCCCCGTTTGCCAGACAGCGTAGATTCTGCTTAATGTAACTTCTTTGCTTAAGCATTTGCATGACTGTTAGTGCTTTGAAGTCAATTTAAAAAATGCACAAGTTATAAATACAGAAGAAAGAGCAACCTGCCCAACCTAACAAGGACCCCCGAACATTTCCCTACTAAGACTGTAATAGATTTCAGTTCTGCCTTTCCTGTAAGTGGATCCAAACATCGGGAAGAAAATGACTAAAACTGTTTGCATCTTTGTATGTATTTATTACTTGATGTAATAAAGCTTATTTTCATTAACAATTTGTATTAAGATGTGGATTCCTTGAATTCCTAAGTAGTATTTTAAAAAACAGCTCCTCAGTGAGAGGTGGGAGAGCCTGTCAAAGGGTCTTTTCCCACTGGCCCAGAGACCTTTTGTGTGATGTCATGGGCACCACAGGCTGGGGGAAGGATGCTTGCTTAAGTCGGGAGGCAGGGATAAGGCGACGTTGCCTCACGGATGCCTTGTGGCTGTGGCACACTTAGGTGTGTGCCAGGAGGAAAACAAGAACCACAGTGGAAGCACTGTTGCTGACTGTGCCCTCCCTCCCCACCCCACCCCACAATTAGGACCCTCTAGGTTTGTAGGTGCTTATCCTGCGGGCACTTCCTGGGTGCTACAGGAATCTGTTTTCATGCCATGCGGCCACTAAACTCAAGCTAGCTTGAGTTCATCTGGTGCTCACAGGAAGAGCTGGTGCTGAGAGAACACCGGGCTGGGTGCCTCAGATGTGCTGAGTCCATGTGGTGGTCTCCAGGCGTGCCTGGCACAGGGATTCTGAGGTAGCCTTTGCCCCAGGCCCTAGCACTGCTCCCCATGTAATGAGGATTCGCCTTGGTGGGGGGTAGACTACAAGGGGGGGTATGGTCAGTTTTGCAGGTGGGAGGCAAGGGCCCCACCGTAAGAGTAAAGGCCGTAGGAATGAGCTCTAGGGAATGGGCTCGCCTGCATCTCCTTCCCGCACATGACAGGAAATTCAGAAAGGTACAAGAAAGGCGACAGACACTGAAGCCTCTGTCCCTCCTGTCTGCAGCTCCCAATTTCCCTTCCCACTCTTACTGGTTTCTTGCGTACTATTCTAGATACCTTACTTGGCTACCTTCTAAGTGGAGGTTGGAATGGGGAAGGGCCTGCACAGTGCAGCCAGAGGTGGAGAGAGCCTTGCATAGAACGCTTAAGCTTCCAAACCAGGCTGCTCCAAGGTGAGAGGAGCCTTGACGGTAAGCTTATTTGGATGCATGCTCTGGGCGTCTGCTGGGCCTGCTGACTGGACTGGTCCTGACTGCAGGCAGACGTGCGGCGGGCCCTGTGTTACACGGTGGCCGCCTCACCTCATGGTATTTCCTCTACTTGTTTTATGAATGGACTCCAGATGTGTTCTAACAAGCCAAGCTATTAACCATGCCTAGAAAAACCCCAAGTGATTGTAAGGTCAAATCCAGCTGGAGTGATGGTATTGAGCACATTCATAAACAAATCCGGTTTGTGGAACGTCATCTCTTATAAATCCACTAGTAAATCAGCATATGGGAAACGATCTATTTCCACATCAGAGAGGTTACTTGGTAACATAGTCTAAGCTAATGGGGTAAATGGACAAGTAATTTACTGATTTGTAAATCTTTTGCCATCTTGTTTTTTCTCTCTTATTCTCTCAACCTGATATTAAGCTAATGGACATCTAAGTATCAATGAGCAATAACCTCCCAGATGACAAGATGGCACTAACTGCTATTAATGTTTGACTCAATTTTATAGTTCTCCATAAAAATGGACCTTATTAATAGTAATACAGTCACGTGCTGCATGGCCATGCTTTGGTCAATGACAGACCGCATACGTGACGGTGGTCCCATGAGATTAGTACCATAGAGCCCAGGTGTGCAGTAGGCTGTGCCATCTAGGTGTGGGTAAGTACACTCTATGATGTTCGCATGATGACATGGCACAATGACGCATTTCTCAGAACACATCCCCCTGTTGTTAAGGGGCGTATGACTATGCTTTAAAAAAATATTTTTATTTCTAACCTTTGATAATAAAACAAGCTACAATCACACAAATGTATAGCTTGAAAAAATAAGGCGACATCCTTCTCCCTACCGCCCAGGTCAAGAAATAGAACTGTCGGTGACCCCGGAGGCCCCTCCCAGTACGGCATGCCATGGACGGCCCTCCCCCTCCCAAAGTCGCCGCTAGCCTTTTAAGTGATGACTTCCTCGTGCTGCTTTACAGTTTTATTCTTGAACTGTGCATCTCCATTCACTACAACTTAGACCACCATTTAAAAAACTTTAAGGTCTTTTAAGTCTGTCAAAGATCTTTCTTTCAAAGCTCCATAATAATGCTGGTGATGGAACTCACCACCATTATTCCTTGAAAGCTTCTGGCAGTGTTTTAGTCAGAATCTGGACATTTTTACTCAGTGGACATTTTTACTTGATTCCCAGAGTTCTTTAAGGAGTTTCTTTTTTTCTAGGGTTTCCTTTGCTCTTTTTTTCCTTTCTTGCTTTTTCTTCTCTGACTCTCGTTTTTCCTTGTATACAAGACTGTTTTCCCCATTGTAGAAAACATCCACTTTCTCTTGTAGGATTTTCCGAGCTAGCTTTCTGTTTTGATCAACTGATCGTGTCTGATGGCACTGTAAGAGATCATATTTTATAAAGTGAAAACCACAGTTTGTTCTGGACAGGACCTCAGAAGTCATTAAATTCAAACTAGTCACTTTACAGATGGGGACAGGCTAGAGAGGCAAAGCCACTTGTCAAGAATCCCGGCGAGCCAGTGGCAGAACGAAGGCCGTACCCTTTCCTGCCTCTGCCCAGCCTCGGCCCCGTCCCACACCCCAGCCGTACTGTGTGGCTTTCACAGTGATTGTTGATCACTGGGCGTGCTGTTCTGTTTAGAAGCAAGGACAGCCTTCAAATACTTAAAGTCCCAAAATAATCTTGAAAACATCAACCCATATGTCTAGCTTGTGGCCAGGGAACAAGCACTTGGTACACACCACATATAGACATCAAATTCTTTTTGGAAGAGGAAAAGGGCCTCTTCATTACTGTCAACCATAACATTCATCATGTAAAACATTCATCATGTAATACCTTAGTTATTACAGGCGAGTGCCTTGCAAAGCTTTGCTAAAAGAGAAATTCTTTGAATTTAGGGTGAAAGAACAGTATTAAAAGCAAATTTGGAGTAAGTTATGTAAAACAGGTTAAAAATTATTGCTCATGAATGACATTTTTTTCAAGGAGGAAAAGATAAGTGATTGAGGTTTTAATTGATATGCTTTTGGCTCAAAAACATGGCCTTGAAGAAAAGCTGTTAGCAACACAGACTTTGGGTTTGGTCTGGGTTGACCCCTGCAGCTGTATGACCTTGGGCAAGTTACTTACCCTCTGTCCCTGTGATGCCACGTCTGTACCATGATGAAGATAATGAATGTGGGCCTGTGAGGACTAAAAGTTAATGCGTGCAAAGTGGTTTAGACCAGTGCCAGCCACATAGTTACATGAGATATAAATATTTGCTATTAGTATTGGTGGAATATGAAAAACCTGCCTTTGCTCTCTCTTCTCTACTGTACCTCAAAGGCTTGTGGTGCCTTAGGGCCCTGGCCAAACAGAATGGACTGGCAGTTCCCTTGAGAGGCAGTGGGGCCACTACCAAACCAGGAAACAGGAGAAAGCACTTCAGCATTTCCTAGAGGTTCAGAATGTGTTGAAAGCTGGTGAGATTCTGATGAGAGACTGGTTTTCATATGAAGAAGGAAGACTCCTACAGGCAGCTATGCATAGCATTTTTCTTCTGAGGGCTGAAAATGGTTTGTAACATCACTCTCAGAAGGTTGGTGTCATTGACATTTACCAAAGAGGTGACAGAGGGACACGGAGGATGTGACCATCCTGACTAATGAGCCAGGTCACTAAGGGCTGAGACGGCTAGCAGACGACCCAGGCCGGCCTGCCGCTCAGGACTTGGAGCCCACGGCGGTGCTGCAGAGCTCTCTGCAGCCATCCTGCAGCCGAGTAGCTTTACAAGACCCGTGCTGCCTGCCAGCTTCAAGGATGGCAGCAATAGCCTGGCTCCCAAGGTCCTGGAAGGCAGCTTCTGAGGCTGTGCAGGAGGTTCCGCCCTGGGGAGGAATGGCTCAGGGCAGGGGTTGAGATCTGCAGTGCCCTCTATTGCCGGGGCCAGAATGAAAATAGGCTTCAGCTGACACCCGTTATCACTCAGCAGAAACCTACTGTGGCGGTGCAAGCCAGCCATCTAAAAGCGGGGCTCAGGACCTCTCCCCTAGCCGTCTTTCTTGCTCTACCTTGACGACGATGCCTGAGGGCATGTGCTTCAGCACCACGCAGTTGCTTGTTTTGTTTGTCGCTTGGCCACCCGGCCCATGTCCTTTCACAAACTGCTCTTCAAGCTCACTCTCCTCCAGGGAAGGCAGAGCAGGGCGGTCCTTCTTGCCTGCCATCTGGACCCGAGTGACTGCTCTTCCTGGGGATAACAATGTTGGCCTCTCCCAAAGCCGGAGTCCCCACGACACTGTGCGTATTCTGGTCAGTGGTGCAGGAAAGCGAAATAAACCCGAGGTACTCATAGAGAGGGGCTCTGCTTGTTCAGGACCTGAATTAGACAAAAAGATAGTCTTTCAGGAAGATGCATTTGCTTTTCAAGATTATCCTGCGGGTTCTAATTTTTTGTAAAGCGGTTCAAACGATGACCACCCATCTGTTACGGAGGGTATTTAGGAAACTGGTGCAGATTATTCAGCAGCAACACCTCTCTCCAGCCTCACCTGGTCTACCGTGTTCTCAGGGGTACGTGCCCCTGCCAGCTGAGAAACATTTTCTTATAACTGACCAAAAATATCTTCGGAGCACCCAGAGGTACTGTTTTCTTGGGAAGGAGAGGTTTTGAGCGTGAAATTCAAAGGAACAGGACTGCCACTTGATAAAGAAATGTTAATAGTACATCAAGCAAGATTTAGGGTCTGAGTCAAGTGACATTATTTAAACATTTGAGAATCTTTGAATCAAAATGTAAAGACAACAGTATGCAATAGTCTATTTTACAGCTGAGCTTAAGCAGTCTGACAGTAAATATCACTATCAATCAATGTCATGATTGTTGTTTTGAATGTTTCCAGTTTCATGGATTTGAATAGGAACACCTGTTCCCTCAGATGCACTGCCAGTAACGTGATCCAACTGGTACTCATCGTTAGAACTCCCAAATCAACTCGTTTTTATTAAGATGCCTGCTAGGTTCAAAATACCATGCGTGCTATAGTGAGTGATACGATGTGGAAAAGCGCTAGACTCTGTCTTCATGAGGTTCAGTCCAGTCAGAGAGAGAAGATATTCAAAAAGAAAGCAGCATTTAATGATATGAGATTTAAATAACCGCTCAAGATGTAGCACAAGGCTGACCCGTCCTGGTTGACAAATGAATAGTACAGAGAGTAACAGCTACAAGGAGATGCTGAACCCCACAGGCCTCTGCTTTTGTCGAGGGGAGGAAGGCGGAAGGACCTGAAAGGTGTTAGCTCTTTTCAAAGATCCGCATATTCCCCACGCAAACGGGGCAAGCCACAAGCTGGGCCAGTTTCCTCATCTGGAAAACGGGTGAATGAGCAGTTCTCCGCCCATTCCACACAGGCTTAAAGATCAGAGAAAAAGTATTCCCGAGAGGGCTTTTGTTGATACCTCTGAGGGCATGAGGCTGGTTTTTAGCAAAATCCCTGTCACCCAGGTGGACTATGGGAACTAAGAATGTGCCACTTGCTTCATGCTTCCTGATCGAGGATTATGTAGGTACCAAAGACAGATGTGCTGCCCTTTTTAACTGCTTCCCATGAGGCTCTACATAGCTTCTTTTACCATTTGAAACCTTCAAAATTCTAGCTCATGGCAACTGGTCTCTAACATAGGCAGGAACTGGACGAAACCTAAGCCAACTTCCTAAGCCAAAAGTAACTTATCATCCACCAAATTACTTGGCCAGGTTTGCTCTCAGCTCATTTACCTGTCACCCGCTGTCTTCTGACTGCTAACATCTACTGAGCCCACACTGACAGCCTAGATCAGCACTGAGGAAGCCTAGTGCAGACACGTGCTTCCTTGGAAATACGTGCATTTTAAATCCAAGTGTCCAACCTTAGTGATCAGTGCAACTGATACCGAGACGATACTGGTCATCTTTAGAGTGATAATGCAGTCTTCTTCACTTCTATCGCTACAGAAAATAAGTATAACGAAATATAACTTTCAAGCCTTACGCCATGCTAGCTTTCAATTCTGTGACTGACATTACGGTCTGAACTCCTGTCTTTGTGAAAGTCTGACGTTCAGGATGATCTGTCAGTGCCGGTGGGTGTTGGTGAGGGGCTCCGTGGCTGCGAAGGGATACATTCTGAAAGAGAGTGCGCCAGTGAAAGCGGCGCTTTAACAACTAGCTTTGTTTATTGTGTGAAATATTTCAGAAGGATCCCCAGGAAAAGAAAAATGATAAACCCAGGTACTTTCTCGGAAATCTGTACAACAAAGAACCCACTCCCTATAAATGATTACGTGAATGAGACGAAGTCGATGTCCAAAATTCCCCTCCCCTTGTCTCTGCTTTCAACCCACAGAACGAAATTCCTGTGTGTACCAGATAGCATCTAGTCCCTGGATCAGATTCATTACAGCACAGGAGCCCAGCGCCCCTCTTGGGGTTTCTCTTCCGCTAGTGAGTAAATCTGACCAGGCAGGCCTGCACTGGGATACAATGCAGTGACAAAGAAAGGAAGCAAGTCTGAGACAAGGCGAAACTCCCAGACAAAGGGCGGGGCAGAGAGTGCTGTCCCCAGCTGCTTTGTCCCCAGCCTCTGTGTTTCAAATCTCTACCTTTCTGTCCTAGTTCAGGGCGGGGACACACACTGGAAGGGCTCCCACCCAACTGGAGTTCACGAAGGTCCCGGTGCTCAGTTACTGCTGCTCTGTTGAACAGCTCATTCCAACAGCCCATCGGATGATTCTCAACACTTGTAGTATCTCCTGGAGCTTTGGCTCTGTTCCAGCGCCTGCTCAAAATGACAAACACACCCATGGTTCCACTTCCCCAAAGCCCAGAGAAGAACACGGATTGGATTTCAGTTTTTGTGATACCCACAAAGCAACCCAAAGTCTTTGAGGAACAATAAAAGCAGCTCGGATTAGAGCTCGTTGGGACATTAAAAAAAGAGAAAAAGAAAAAGGGTAACAAGAAGTGCTAGTAAAGGCAAACCAGCAGTCCTGACAGCTCGCCCTGATTCCCTCTGCGAGTGTGCGCCAATCCACGGCTGGCTCTCCACCGACTTCCCCTTCCCACTTGGTCAAGTTAGGAGTAATAGATCTGGGGCCTTTATAAGACACAATGTTAATTTGTTCAATGAATACTTTCAACATCTACTATGTGCCAGGCATGGGCCTCATGGAGCCCAAGGAATCTGTAGCATAAAAGAGAAATTAAGACGTCCACAAATCTGATAACGCCAGCCTGGGAAGGACAACATGCTATAGAGCAGTGGTCCTCAAACTTTATTACGCCCCCAAATCACTGGAGTGCATGTTATTGGAATATGGAACTCGCATTCTATTAGGTGCCTCTCTTCCTGACCTGGATCCAGCCGGCATGCATTCCCTCTTCAGGCTTCCATAATCAACCCAGACCAAGACAGACACCCACTGTGGGGATGGCATGTCAGCTCTGGAACGTGGCCTGTGACAGGAGCAAACAATCCCGGATTCAAACGAGCTGCAGCGAGGTAAGGCTGTCTCACCAGCAGCTCCAGGGCTCTAGAGAGTGGGAAAGAGGATGCAACGCCTTTCCTTTGTGTCTCAAAGAAGAAAGGATATTTGAATCTGTTTTCAGGAAAGCATAGCATTTCAATCTCTGGACCCACCTTCTGGATGCCATTTGTCTAAAATTCACTGTTGAAGTATTTTTTTTTTTTTAGAAAGAGAGAGCACTAGTTTCTCTTAGCCACACCTTTCATGGTATATCAACCTTGAAGAAACGGCATTAACTAACTGAAGGAACAGATGTGGAGATTAAACAAAATGGGGTGCTTTAGGAAAGATACTTGTTAAAGCTTTCACCACTCAAACTTTCCCCTGGGGATCTCATTAAATAGGATACTGGTTCATTAGGTCTGGGGTGGGGCCTAAGATTCTGCATGTCTTACTGGCTCCCAGGTGAGGCTGTTGCTGCTGGTCCAGAGACCACACTTTAAATGTCACGGCTAAGGGCTTTGAGCGAGGGTGCTGCCTGTATCCTGGCTCTGAGGATCGTCCGACTGCTGGATGCGAGCCCCAGGATCATGATGGCAACGATGGACACGAAGAGGGTGTAAAGGAGAGTAATGGCTGGGAAAGGAAAACATTTAGAGGAAAGAATTAAATGAGTATTGATTTGAGTTAACAAGAAGGTGAAATGGTTACAAGGGGATTGAGAAACTGGGTCATCTGAAAAAAGAACAAAAAATGTTGCTTCTATAGCATTAATGTTCTAGAACACTGTTGGCCAACAGAAATATATACAAGTCACATGTGAAATTCTAAATTTTCTAGTAGTGACATTAAAAATAGTAAAAAGAAACTGATGAAATGAAGGTTAATATATTTTAATTAACCCAATATATCACAAATGTTATTATTTCTTTTTTTTTTCAGTAAGGGAGATCAGCCCTGAGCTAACATCTGTGTCAGTCTTCCTCTATTTTGTATGTGGGATGCCACCACAGCATGGCTTGATGAGCGGTGAGTTGGTCCATGCCCAGGATCCAAACCTGTGAACTCCAGACCGCTGAAGCGGAGCACACAAACTTAACCACTATGCCACTGGGCCAGCCCCCGAAATATTATTATTTCAACATGTGATCAATATAAAAAAATTACTGAGTTTTTTTTCATAGGTAGTCCTCAACATTGGGGGTATATTCACACTTACAGCACACCAGTTTGGACTAGCCAAGTGCTCACCAGCCACACATGCCAGTGGCTACCGTACAAGATCTAGAATTTGACTACTCAGAGTGTGGTCCACAGAGCAGCAGCAAAGGCAGCAGCTGGGAGCGTGTGAGGAATGAGGAATCTTGGGCCCTAGCCCAGAGCTCCCCAGCGAGAACCCGCCTTTTACTAAGATCTTTAGGTGATTCAGAGGCACGTTCCCGAAGCTTGAGCAGCACTGTACTAGAACACAGGCATTAGCAGGTTCTCTGGCTGCTGGGACAGACACTTTTAAAAGTTGTTGTTTCTTACGTTTCTAATATTTAAGATTGAGACGAGAATTCAGGAGTGCTGATTACCTCCTTAGTCACAGTCTTTTTTCCCCCCTCCCCAATAAGGAGGGAAAATGACAGGTCACAAAACAATGACCTAATTAATGGTGAAGGACCAAACAGTGAGCTTGAACAGACTGACGTGCGAGGTGCAGCTTCAAAAAGACAACATGGGGCTGGCCCAGTGGTGCAGCGGTTAAGTGCACATGTTCTGCTGTGGTGGCCCGGGGTTCGCTGGTTGGGATCCCATGTGTGGACGTGGCACCACTTGGCAAACCATGCTGTGGCGGGCGTCCCACATATAAAGTAGAGGAAGATGGGCACGGATGTTAGCTCAGGCCCAGTCTTCCTCAGCAAAAAGAGGAGGATTGGCAGCAGATGTTAGCTCAGGGCTAATCTTTCTCAAAGAAAAAAAAAAGACAAAATGGCCAGCTGATGGCACTGAAGTAAAGAGAGAGGAGACTGATTTTTTGGAAACTGCTTAGTAATAATTCATGTTTCAAAAGTGTGTTTTGGTGCTCTCTGCAGAATGGGAATTAAAATAAAGCAGCCTACAGGGCCGGTTCTGTGGCCTAGTGGTTGAGTTTGGTGTGCTCCATTTTGGTGGCTCAAGTTCATTTCCTGGGTGGGGACCTCCACTACTCATCGGTGACCATGCTGCGGTGGTGACCCACATACAAAATAGAGGAAGACTGGCACAGATGTTAGCTCAGAGCAAATCTTCTTCAAGTGAAAAGAAGAAGATTGGCAATGGATGTTAGCTCAGGGTGAATCATCCTCAGCAAAAAAATAAAATAAGGGCTGGCCCCGTGGCCAAGTGGTTAAGTCTGTGCGCTGTGCTTCAGTGGCCTGGGGTTTCGCCAATTCGAATCTTGGGCGAGGACACGGCACCGCTCATCAAGCTATGCTGAGGTGGCATCCCACATGCCACAACTAGAAGGACCCACAACTAAAAATATACAACTATGTACTGGGGGGCTTTGGGGAGAAAAAGGAAAAAATAAAATCTTTAAAAAAAGTAAATAAATAAAGCAGCCTTTCTCTCCCTTTCATATGTGTCTCACCCTCCTGCTGTAGTTGCCTGCAATCCCAATGAGAGCGGGAACACCTCCCCAAATGGAGCTCCTAGGAACTGCGGCTCAGGCTTGAAACAGACCCTGTTCTCCCCTCGGCTTGGGGTTTTACAGGGAAGATAAAGCACCTTTCACCCACAGCAAGTGTTTTCAGAGAATTACTCCTCAAATGAGAACATCGTAATCGATTACGCAGGAAATGCAGAGCTGTTATCCTTGATTTTGGGGGACAAGAGGAAAGGAGATGACTCTGGGTCTGCTCAACATTTAATAGGCTTATGCTGCAGAGTTCAAGAGATGACTAATGAAGCCGATAAAGAGGCTTTCAAGTCATACAACACCAACATCCCGCTCAGGGTGTTTTAAACAGAAAACTTTGAATCCACAGAGAATTACAACTGTCCTATTTGTGTGCATCACTGTGATTTCCTTATATTTACAGCATCTAACAGGAACTTTATAATTTAACAACCACACTATTAAAACAAGAGAAACACAAAAAACAGCAATAACACTCTACCTTTTCTTCTAAAAGTCTCAAAGCCTCTATTACCGTTCATGATGCTTTGCATGTTCAGGACTTAAATGTTTTCAAAGCACTTTCAAATATATTATCGTATTTGATACAAATAAGGAAGAGATCCACTATGTGGATTATTTCAGGAAGACTTATCTTGGGAAAGCATTAGCAATTCCATTTTTTAAACTAAACTGATCTTTCTACAGCTTGTTGCTTTACCTTTCGTAACATCTCCAGATCTGTTCTTCCCCCAGCTCCTTAAAAAGTGTTAGCTCATTTTCCTCAACTTTCTCTTCTGGACGCTTCCTCTCATTTTTTTCTCCCTGAAAGGCCATACTGCTTTGTAGTCAGCGTGACCTGTGTCAATGTTTTGACTCCGTGATTTACTCACCGTGCCACTCTGGCCACGCTTCCTCGTCTGTAAAATGGAGGTAATACCACTGAGGGTGAGAAGAACACCGTACATGTCGCCACAAATGTAAATCACTTAGGAGCACTTCGGATCCTTCCATGACACAGCTGAAGAAACCTGGACAAACTCACCACATCAGTTGGGGTCTTACCCCATAAACCCAGTCTGCAAGCTGATCGTTTCATGGACTTTTTGTTTTAGAGCTCCGAGTGAAAAGGTATCTAGCATAGTGATCTGCAAACTACTTTACTCGGTATGGTCCCATTTAAGAAGTACTTGGAAGCCATGAAATTATCAAAGACATGCAGTTTGGTGAGGTCATAATTGTGGTCTTTGAAATCGGGTGCCACGGAGAAAATCATGATGCCAAGAATACAGCTTGACTTCCCAGCAGGTTCAAGTTGAAAGATAAAACCACGTTCATTGAAGCAAGTTCTACTTTAAACATAGAGATCTTTAGAAATTATCTAATATAGTAGGAAAAATCGTGAAGGACAAGAAAGATGAAAAAATTCATATTTAAGAGTATACTCAATCACTTCCACGTTTAATGGTTAAACTACAGATTTAAAGTTTTAGAGTTCTTCATTTTTTGCTGTGGAGAACTGGCCCCCCCAAATGACAAACTGTTTGGATATAAAAATCAATGACACAAAGGAACACCCTGGTTAATAGACACAAAAGGCTTCACGCCATTAGCAGCCATTATTACTGAATAGCCTGATCTTATCCCAATTAATGTGAAAGATCTCCACTCAAAAGCTGTCAATTTGAAGCTTTCAAAGCAAAAGAGAAATACTGGAGCAATTTGATGTTATAGTAAAATCATATTGTAATCATATCCTTGCAAGGCCATGAAATAGTGGTGTAGGCTTGCATACAAGCAGTGCAAAATCTCCAGTATGGGGCAGGGGAGGTTTAGATTAGATGAACAGTTACTTAATACATATTTATACATACTTATAAAGCTTCTCTGTAGTCCAATTAGGCAAAGACAATTTCCACACTCTGAAATTTTTTTTTGAGGAAGATGAGCAGTGAGCTAACATCTGCCAATGCTTTTTTTTTTTTTCTTGCTGAGGAAGACTGGCCCTGAGCTAACATCCGTGCCCATCTTCCTCTACTTTATATGTGGGACGCCTACCACAGTATGGCTTGCCAAGCAGTGCCATGTCCGAACCCGGGATGTGAACCCATGAACCCTGGGCCACCGCAGAATGTGCGAACTTAACTGCTGTACCACTGGGCTGGCCCTGAAATTTTTTTTGCTGAGGAAGATTGTTGCTGAGCTAACATCTGTGCCAGTCTTCCTCTATTTTGTATGTGGGATGCTGCCACAGCATGGCTTGATGAGTCGTGTGTAGGTCGGCGCCTGGGGAGCCAAACCTGCAAACCCCAGGGTGTTGAAGTGGAGTGTGTGAACTTCACCATCTCACCACAGGGCTGGTAGATTTTTTAAAATGAAGACCCTACCAAAGAGCTTAACCTAAGGTAAGAAATATGGTGTGAGCAACCTCACCAAGATATCTCACCACATCAGCTGGTTAACAAGACAACTTGGTTAATCAGAATACTAGCTCCTGGAAATGTTAGCTTATTAAGATATTAATAGATTTTTAAAAATTACTTAAAATCACAATGACCAAAAAAAAAACAAAATCCAAAACAGAAGCAAACACGCTCAAACTGAACATAGTCCATCTGATTTTGTAGCCAAAAAGCAATGACCTCCTGCCTCTTGCATGGTTAGGAACTAATCTCTAGTACTTGATTTGGGGGTTAACATTTTTCTTGTAAGGAAACACACCTGTCTTTGCCTGGAGCTGTCTCAGGAATACCTGCTCCTCAATTCTTCTGTGAGTGCAAGATTCTACAGTGTCTCAAATAATGGATTTTGAGACCAACTGAAATTAGTGATAAAATTGTGCGTTTTTAAAAATTTTTTTGGTGGACTTGAAACATGGTCACTGAAAACAGAGCCATGTGATTAAAAATAATTTGATTTTGGTTAGGTATCCCATGAGCATAGTACTGACGGATGGATTAACACAATGTGGGGGGCGATCAACCTATTTAAGCTTGAGATCTTCCATGCATGGATGGGGTTTTGGAAAGAGATGGGTTCTTCACTGCTGCGACATGACTGTTGAGTATTCTTAGGAGGTTCAGATGAGACGGAATGCATCCTGGCAGGCTTGTCATTCCAAGGGCAGATACAGCTCCTTCAGGCACATCTAAGTAACAGGGCCGGTGACACTGTGGGCTCAGGACACTCGGAGGGAAATCGAAGAGCTGGAAGGACCCTTAAAGGTTAGCTAGTCTGAAGACTGCGCACTGAACAGGGCGTCTGAGTTGGGCTGGGGGCCCCCAGGGAGGGACGCGGGTCCTCGGCGGTCCCTCGGAAAGCCTGGCAAGAGCAATGCTGACACCTGCCACGTGCAGCCGAAAACAGCCCTGCTACGCGCTAAGAGCTCCACGGGCTCTGCGGACAGCAAAGGGGGCTCGTCCGGCTCGTCGGCGGGCCTCAGAGGAACTGTCATCTCCGGGGCGGCGGGCCCCCCGCCAGTCCTTGAAGAGCCCCAGGGCCGAGCCCCAGGGCCGACCCACAGCAGCCGAAGGTAAACCAGGGGCAGGGAAGACTTAGCTCAGGTCCCTGGGCGGCTGCACCGCAGCGCCAGCGGGGCCGCAGGTCAACTGGCTGCGCGACTCAGGGTCGCGAGCCGAGAACCAGGCCTCTCTCCAGAGCCCTTGACAGTCGCGGGCAACCGTGTGGGTCCCTGGCTCCTCCGTAGACCCTTACCTGGTTTCGGGACTGACCTCCGGTCCCCAAAGTTCGGGGGAAACCGGAACCGCCGCAGCAGCGGGTTCGCAATCGCGCTGCCGGGTTTGCGCACGCGCCCTACTCCTGCCGCGGCTTCCCTCACGTGCCCGAGGCTCATTCTGACCAAGTGCGCATGCGTGAAGCTGAGGCTCCTTTCCCGCGTGGCAGCCGTAGGTTCCCAGAGAGCCAATCAGATGAGAGCATTTAACAGCAGCCCCGCCCCCTCCCGTTTCCCAAGCTTCGGACCTCCCTCTTTGGCGCGAGCTGCGGAAAAGGGAGGGGGCAGTCGACGCGCGCGCCGCGCCTGGGCTGTCTCCGCCCCCTTCTGAGCAGCCAATCGCAGGCAAGACGCCGGGCGCGCGCACGCTCCCCCGAGTTTAACGGTCGCGAGAGGCCGCTCGACTGACCCTGACATCGGCAGAGGGAGCGCCGGCCAGGTAAGCGGCTGCCGGTCTGTGGGGAGCTCCCAGTTGCGGGGGATGGGGGACAAGACTTAGAAGACACGGTCTTAGAGGAGCCCCGAGTGTGCCGATGAGCTAGGGCGGGGGAAGACAACCACCAGACGAGGCGGCCCCGCCGCAACCTGCGGGTGTGTGGGGGCTTGCCGGCGGCCGTGCGCCTTTTCTAGACTACGTGCCCTTGAGTGACACCGGCGCGGCCCAATCGCAGAGCGCCTCTTCCCGAGGGGCGGGGGGCTTGTGGGATTTTTTCTTTTCTTTTTTTGGACGAGCTTCCTCCTCTCACTTTGGGGATCTCGATTGTAGTTGGAGCGGTGGCTGTTGTCCAGCCTCCTGCTGTGTACAATTTATGCGACTGCGTGGGTTCTTCCTCGCCTTCCCCCTTTGACCCGGGAGCCGCCACCCGCAATTGAGGTCTGGCTGTGAGCGCGAGAATGTCAGGATCTGGCCTCAAAAACCTTTGAAGTCACTCCTTCTTTCTCCTGTCAGCTTCCCAACAAAGCAGAACGCCTGGCTAACTTTTATACATCAGTAGACCCCGATCGGTCGCTCCTTTTTTCCGTAACTCCCTTTTTTGCTAGGGATTGGGGGGCTCCAAAGTATCATATTTTGTTGCTGGAAAATATAAAAATATCTCTTTTTATATCCATTCTCCGTCTTTTTAAAAAAATTTTCCATTGTATAGCGGGGTTTTTCCCCCCTTCATCCCCATCCCCTCCGCCCCGTCCCCGCCTGCTGGAAAAGCATCACTGCGTTTCAAGCGGTTTTCCATCTGGATATCCTGCATCCGGATTACCTCACTGGGGAAATAATAGATGGGGTTGCAGATCCCCGTCCCTGGAGAGCTTGTGTTTTCCTGGTAGAAGAGCAAGGTGATTTGAATCCAGGTATTTTTGTTGCCAGTTGGAAGGTGCAGCCCCTGACTCTTTCAATACTCTATTTGTCGTTGGCGATGGGCTGAGCCACTGGGGAGAAATCCATTTAGTCAGGTCCAGTTACCCTTGGCTTTCACACCTGTCCCCGAAGGAAATGGTTCCTTTATGAGCTGGTGTTTTTAAGGTTGTGCTTTGTAAATCAGGCCCTAGGCAGTGGGAATAATAGTTTCCCTCTATTGCACTACCTAAACTTGCCATTTTGTAAGCAGTATAGGTTTTCTTCTTTTTCCCTTGCTCCCTTGCTTTTTTTTAAAAAATGCATGAATTCCCTAAGACGGAATCCTATTGTTTGACTTGTTATAGCCAGTTTGTCTCCGTACACCTAGCTTCAGTTAAATTTTAGTTGACCTGGCAAATAGTTTATTTTTTGAGAAGTAATACGTCCATAGAATCCAGAAGACTGTGTAGTGCAAAAGACATTTCTGCCACCCCTCACCTTACAGCCAGTGGGAAAACAACCATTGTTAACAGTTTAATTGGCTGTTTTCAGTACCAAATTAAATCCTAAGCAGTTGCCATTCATCTCTTCACTGTATAAATCAACAAGCATGGGTACTTGGTAGAATTTATTAAACAGATGAATAAAACATGTAAGTATTCCAACTGTTACATAGTAGAATTGTGTCTAGAACCTTGATTATTAAACACATAAAATTCTGAAATATTACCTGAAAAAGAGATAGTACTTCTGCAAGTCACCCTTATTGTAGATTTTTTATTGAGATATAATTCATGTACCATAAAATTCACTCTATTAAAATATAGAATTCAGTGTTTTTTTTGTATATTCAGAGTTGTGCAACCAACACCACTATCTAATTCAAGAACTTTTCATGACCCTGAAAAGACACCCCATACCCATTTCAGTCACTCCCATTCTCTCCTTCCCCCAGCTCCTGGCAACCATTAATCTACTTTCTTTCTATCTAGATTTGCCTATTCTAGATGTTTCAAATAAATGCAGTCGTACAATGCGTGGTCTTTTACTGAGCTTCTCTTACTTAGCATAATGTTTTCGGTGTTCATCTGCACTGTAGTGTATATCAGTATTTTATTCCTTTTCATGGCTGAAAAATATTCCATTATATGGCTACACCACATTTGTTCATCAGTTGATGGACATTTGATTTGTTTCTGCTTTTTGGCTCTTATGAATAATGTTGCTATCCTTTATGTGGATTAAGATTTCCAAAGTCATGAAAAGACAGTTGCTAGGTTTAGAGGCTTTTTATAGTAGTATTCTTTTCCTCATTCGTTTTCAGACTCTTGGGAGCTTAGGATATTACACAGTTCTGAATGTTAGCAGCTGAAAATGCCTGTAGACGATGAAGCATCTGAAGATGACTCGGACTCAATTTCTTCAAACAGTGAAAAAACCTACATTTTCCAATAAGAGAGTATAACAGTTTCTGTACATTATGGAAGATTTTGACTTGGTGAAACCCTTACAAAAAACTTCATCTTCTCTAGAATCTGATATAAAAAATTCTCCCCATTCTCTTGGACTGAACTTAAATACTAATAGGTAAGAATGAGCTGGACAGATTTTTTTTTTTTTTTAGTGTAACAACAAATCAAAGTAACTTTATTTGCATAATTTACCAGTTTATCCACATAGTGTTATAGTTACTCTGATCAGGAACTGTTGAGGGACAGTTGTTAAGAATAGTTTTATTCTTCCATGATTTTTTTTTTTTTAAGATTTAATTTTTTCCTTTTTCTCCCCAAAGCCCCCCAGCACATAGTTGCATATTCTTCATTGTGGGTCCTTCTAGTTGTGGCATGTGGGACGCTGCCTCAGCGTGGTTTGATGAGCAGTGCCATGTCCACGCCCAGGATTCGAACCAATGAAATACTGGGCTGCCTGCAGTGGAGCACGCGAACTTAACCACTTGGCCACGGGGCCAGCCCCTCTTCCATGATTTTTGTTTCTCCCAGAGATGAGTACTTTTACATGGGGAACATTGTGAAAGAGAGCTTGTTGTGCCAATTGTGGTTTTCTTTACACTTTTTTTGTTTTTGGTAAATTACAAGTATATCTTTAAAATTTAGTTGCCTAAATATTGTTTCTACATTTTTTTTTAGAAATTTTTATTTTTTACTTTATTTTATTTTTTGAGGAAGATTAGCCCTGAGCTAACATCTGCTGCCAATCCTCCTCTTTTTGCTGAGGAAGACTGGGCCTGAGCTAACATCCGTGCCCATCTTCCTCTACTTTATATGTGGGGTGCCCACCACAGCATGGCTTGCCAAGCAGTGCCATGTCCACACCCGGGATCCGAACCAGCGAACCGCAGACCGCCAAAGTGGAATGTTTGCACTTAACCGCTGCACCACTGGGCCAGCCCGTTTCTACGTTTTTAAATTAATAGGACATATAATGTTTAATATTGCAGAAATACCCCACCAATCTGGAAAGTAGCAACTGAAGTTGAATACTAGGAAGTAAGCGAAAAAAGACACTCTTGAGTCGATGAAATAGATACTATCAAACAACGCATTTTCTTTTTAAACTATCCCATGTTTGGTTTCTTTTTAATCAGAGGCTGTTTACTCTCATTTTGTACATAGTCTGACAAGCTCGATTATTTGGGTTTCTAAATTATGGTAACTTAAAAACAGCAAAGAGGCAGGGACCACGAGAGAGGAGATCAGCTGTAAAAAGCAGGTCCAGTAAAATCAAAAAACAATAGTCTGGGCTACTGGTAAAGAAGCAAATATCTTTAACACAGTAGGTCTGTAAGAGATTGTGTTATTATAAATAAATTCCTTGAAAAATGTGTTCATTCTCTGCCCTCCTCAGGAGGAATTTAAGGCCACTTATAAAATATAGAAAATAAAAGGAGAAAGCATAAATTAAAGTAGGGTGAAAGGGGGAAAACAAAAAGCATGGGAAATGATCCAGAAGGGATGTCTGTCGTGCAGTCTATACAACTGGTCATGCTTTTTGGATCATTTGGGGGCCCCTTGAAGCCCACTTCTAGAAGAAATCTCTTTGAGAACATAGGGTTTGATTTGCTTGGAGGAACCTAAATGTGCCTTTCTAATGAAAATTATGTAACTGAACTTGTCTCCCTTTTCGTTGTGACTGGCAGTTAAATTGGCCACATTTAAACTTATTACACAACTATATAAACCCCTTACGACAGCATACTATGTTCTTTCCCTTGAATTTTTATTAACATTTTCTCCAACCTAACTCTATTATTTTACTGTTATTTTCATTAGTGCCCTCTTTTTTACAAAGTCTTTGTGAAACAAAGCGGAGTATCAATAAATAAATGATAATCATCTTTCAGTGATTGAAATTGAAATACATTTTAATGTCCTTAATTATACTTTGTGTTTTTATAAAACAAATCTGAAATAAACTCGTCTCGAGTTTGGAAAAGCAGTCCTTCTGGAAAGAATCAATGCTGTTTTACACCCTGAATAGCCTGAGTCAATCCTGAATATTTGCTGCTAATTTGCTGGGCCCAACTTTTATTCAGACAGTGCAAAGATAAGCATCAGCTTATCACACCAAATTAGGGGGATGCAGTTAAGAAGACTTGACTGTAATTCTGGGCAGTGGAGAAAGAATCTCCATGACACTAAAGGGCTGTTCTTGAAGTGGGGTGAAATAATCCTCTGGAATAATTTAGATTGGAGAAGCTGGAAATTTTTCTTATCGTTTAGCAGGAACTTTTGTATTCTGCTGGTTCTCACTTTTGAAGAAGGTCTTTCTGTTGTGTTTTTAAAAAGATAAATGCTGTCTGTCTTTTTACTGCTATTTTCCTTTCGTGGACAAACTTGTGATCAGATTTTCAACAAATGAGGTGCCATTAGGAAGGATTAAATATCAGTAGTTTTGTACTGCTCTGCTAAATCTTGAACTGCTGAATTATTCAACACTTTGGTAGAATGAAGAAAACCATTTGAATTATTTATGTTTCAACAGAAGTAGTCCCCACCTTAGTACAAATGGGGTATCCTCTTTCTCAGGGAAGACCAGACCGTCTGTAATTCAAGGTACAGTGGAAGTCCTAACCTCTTTAATGCAAGAGCTCCAAAACAGTGGAAAGACTGATTCGGAACTTTGGAAAAACTGTGAGGTATCTAGTTTTGTTTTATTTTTGGAATTTTAAAATAATTATAAAACGTGCCTCTGCTAAACTCTAAATTATTAGAAATTTATATCCTGAAGAGCATGATACTTAAAGTTATTGCTAAAGTAAGGTGATCGAGTATTGGGGAACGATATTGAATGAATGTGATAAAGATGATCAAAAGTATGTTTTAACAATATATTAGTGATTAGACATACTGTTTATATTTAAAATGTGAACTAAAATGTCTTTGTCCGGAGAAATGAGAATTCCAAAATTATTAATATTGTTTTTAATCCTAATGTTTTAAGTAACTCATATGGAATTGTCATCAAGAAAATCTAAATCCACTTTGAAATATTTGAATGTTCTAATTATCAGTTAAGGGTTCTATTTAGTACCTTATCACTTTTAGCTGTGATACATTGAGTTATGTTGATTTTTCAGGTCACTAGTCCTTTTTTTGGTCCATAGGTTAAATTGTGATATAAAAACTTAACAGTTCAAAGAATACTGGTATATATAAATTTTGTTTCATAGAGTAATGCCCAAGATAGACTTTTCCAAGGCTAGATTTGGTAATGCTTAATAGGAATGTATAAAACATTATTATTATTATTAAATTCTTTATTTAGAGTGTAGATTTTGTTTTAAATGTTAATCATACTTTTAAAACCATCATTTGTGTTACTTTTCAGAATGTAGAATAAATGGAACGAGACAGTGCCTGTTTAAGAATTTACTAGCGGCCACCCCTCAGTGTGATTACTTATTATTCCTTATCTGTAATCATTGAAGTTATAAAAATAACTGAGTGTTATTGTAAACCTTAAAAACATTATGCTTTAAGTTTTTATGTTTTTCCATATAACATCTGTATGTGCTAATACGAAAGACCTATAAAATGCCATTGTAAAATGAAGCAATTAAAAATAGAAGGTTTTATGAAATGTTTCTGCTAACGTACTTACTCATTAGCTTATAATACCTGACAACATGTTTTTAAAAGATGAGGCATTGCCTCTTGTAGTTTGGCAAATTCATGTCTGACTAGAAATTGTTACTCATAATACTTTGAAATCAGCACCTTAAATCAGACTCAGAATATATTTGTGAATTTAAGATACAGATTTTTGTAAGCCAGAATACCAACCAGCTACTCACCCCTTTTCACATTTGAACCCATTTCTTTCTTTCTGCCCTTTCTTCTTCACCTGTGATAAAACAGATAATTATTTTTATTATGTTTAGTAATAATTGCTTAATTTTTGTAATGTCGACATATAATTGATTATTAGGTGAAGAGTTTCTTAAGATATTTCTTACTTTGACAGACTATGAAATATCCCTCTGGCCATTTCAGTAAAATTTCTTGAATATATTTAGTGTGTTTTGCGGCATTTCGTATGCTAAAAAAGTGAAATCCTCTCATGTTTTAGTGTAGCACTTTAGAAAGAGTGGGAGGGGTAAGGATTGTGCAAGTCTTATTCCTGACTTTTTTCCCTGAATTTCATGTTTTCACCTTGTTTTTAACATTTGTCTGATTTCTGCCCCTTTAGGGGACTAATTCATGTTATTAAACCAAACATGAAACCTTCCACAATTTGAACATGAAGAGCTCTGGAGCTGATGTATTTTTTTTTTAATTAAAAAATATTTTTTTTGAGGAAGATAAGCCCTGAGCTAACATCAGCCACCAATCCTCCTCTTTTTGCTGAGGAAGGCTGGCTCTGAGTTAACGTCTGTGCCCATCTTCCTCTACTTTCTATGTGGGACGCCTACCACAGCATGGCTTGCCAAGCAGTGCCATGTCCGCACCTGGGATCCGAACCAGCGAACCCCGGGCCACTGAAGCAGAACGTGTGCACTTAACTGCTGGGCCACCAGGCCGGCCCCGTGTCCCCCCATCTTTGTGACAACCATGACCTCACAGGTTTTCAAAGTATAGTTCCCCCATTGAAATCACTGCTTTACATGCATCATATTTAAACTTAAAATTTGGTCCTCCCAACCATCTATGAGACTATTATTCCTCCATTATTATTCCTATTTTATAAATTAGGAAACTGAGGCACAAGAAATTAAGTTTACTTGTTCCGCACCACACAGGATGTTGGTGGAGAGCTGGGGGTCAGACCTTGGATGTCAGAGCCCAAAGGGTATTTACTGGGCCAGACTAGAAATCCCAGGCAGGCTTATCGCATCAAAACACTGCATGCAGGGGAAAACTTTAAAGAGATGCCATATCCTCCAACAATATGTAAAATTCAGGTCACATAAATCATTTTAGTTTGAAATGAATAATACCCCTTCTTAATAGTTAAGTGAATAATGTTATTCACTGCATTTATAATGTTCTTAAATAAGTTTATTTAAAATTAAAATGTTAGCTATAAAATCTGGCCAAGAAGAACAAAATCGTCTCCACTAATTTATATCCTAAGCGCTATTCATCTATAACCTAAATCGGAAAATGATAATAAGGATGTGATTAATATCAAATGTCTTACGTTTTTTGTTGCATAAATTGTTATTCTATCATTATTGTAATTTAGGTTTTTTTGTTTGTTTGTTTGGTGAGGAAGGTAGGCCCTGAGCTAACACCTGTGCCAATCTTGTATGTGGGACGCTGCCACAGCATGGCTTGGTGAGCAGTGTGTGGGTCCACGCTTGGGATTTGAACCTGCAAACCCTGGGCCCCTGAAGCAGAGTGCGTGAACTTAACCACTATGCCACTGAGCTGGCCTCATATTGTAATTTAGTTTTATGTGAATAGTAGCTTTATCAGATTAAAAGTAACCCCCGAAGGGTGTTGCTTAAGGTTAGTATAAGCTGTGTGAAAACTGTTGCCTGATTCTTTCTTTTTCTTTTTTTAAAGATTTTATGTTTTTCCTTTTTCTTCCAAAACCCCCCACTACATAGTTGTGTATTTTTTAGTCGTGAGTCCTTCTAGTTGTGGCATGTGGGATGCCACCTCAGCGTGGCTTGATGAGCGGTGCCGTGTCCATGCCCAGGATTCGAACCGGCGAAACCCTGGGCCGCCGAAGCGGAGTGTGCGAACTTAACCACTCGGCCCCACATTATTTCTTTTTTGTTGTCATTAATATAAGATACTTTATATTATAGGTAAGTTGAGAAGATGAGGAACTTAATGTGATCCAGCCTACCTTGCCCTGAAGTTAGTTGATTTAGTATTAATACTGCCTCTCAGTAGTCATATTTCATTTTGAAGCCTTCCTTTTCCAATCCTGAGGGTTTTTTCCCCCTTTGCCTTAATCCTGTTATACAGGTTTCAACTTATTTCTCTTGTGTACTATGGTTCTGTAACTGGCTTTCAGCATTAACCCGAAGGGCTTCTGGAGTGTGTAGTCTATAGTACCCAGAAAAGTTCAGCTTGAAATACACATTTTTATATACTCATTTACACTGTATTTCTGAGTGCTCACTCTTTCATACGCATTGTGTCCTAGCTGGAGATAGAGGGATGGTAGACAAGTTAACAAGGTGAACACATGAGATACTCTCTGACTGTGGTAAGTGCTCTGAAGGAAATAAAGAGGACGACAAGAGTAACTGTAAGGATGGTTTGGAAAGCTCTCTTGGAGAAGGTGACAGTTAGGCTGAACTTGCAGCATCGGAAGCAGCCAGCCATGTTAAGAGCTGGGGAAAGAGCTTTCCGGGCAGCGGGTACAGCAAGTACAAAGCTTTTGTGGTAGAAGACAGTGGTGGCATGTTCAGGGAGCACAAAGAGGCCAGCGAGGCCGGTGTATATCAAGCAAGGGACAGAGCAGGTGAGACGAAGTTGGGAGGAATGTATGAGCCAGGTCCTGCGGGCTCTGTGAGGTGGCAGGAGTGGGAAGACATTGAAAGGTTTTAGAAGGGAAGCTAGTCGTCCTGGTAGCTACTTATTGACATCATGTATTATTGCATGTAGTCTGTAACTGAAAGTCCACCAGCTTTGAGACTGAATTTAGCCTCTGGGGAACTCCATGCCCCCTTTCCTGCCGTGTTTTGGCTTAATCTAGTTCTAGGAGTACTAACTGCTTTTGGGAGTAAGGATGGATCAGGACCTAAAAGTGGCTGTGAAGGGAGTTATAGGCACTTCCATGGGTTTTGAGTCATTTTTTCACTCCTTTATCAGCTGTTGTGCTTTAAAACACTTCAACATCTGACTTTAAAAAGAATAAATTTACTTAAATAACAAATAAATTAGGAGTTGAATTCTCATAATACCAAACTATTTATTTTAAAATGTGGGCGTGAAAAAGAATAAAGGAAACCTCATTTAAAATGGAGTTGGGAGGCCAAAAGGGGGAGCCCTCGCTACTGCCACGCCAGGTCAATTACAGACCCCAACAGGAAGGCATCGGTTACACACCTCCTCCAGGAAGCACTCTCCTTTCCAAGCAAGCCCAGCCATCATCACCCTGCACTCTCACTTTTCTCTCACGGACTTTGCTTTTTTTATTTTTTGAGCTTGGCCCAGAGCTAACATCTGTTGCCACTTTTCCTCTTTTTTTTCCTCCCCAAAGCCCCAGTACATAGTTGTACATCATAGCTGTAAGTCTTAGTTCCTCTGTGTGGGATGCTGCCACAGCATGGCTTGATGAACGGTATGTAGGTCCGAGCCCAGGATCTAAACTGGAGAACCCTGGGCTGCTGAAGCAGAGTGCGAACTTAACCACTGTGCCACCGGGTGGCCCCAAACGGACTTTCTTTTAAAACAACCCCTCTCAGCTTCCTCCTTTTTCTCTATAAAGTAATGGTCCTTTCCTTTGTTTGCGGGACTTGCCCGTGGCTTTTGCTATAGCTTGCTTGTCCCAAACTGCAATTTCTTTGCTGTTCCCAAATAAACCCATTTTGCTGGTAAAATAACTGACTCTTTTATTTATTAGGACAACATGGGATTCTTTTTCTGAGTACAAATCAGTGTTTAAGAAAATCATTAGCTGTTATGAGGAAAGGAAGAGGAACTTAAGACAAATACAAAGTGGAACTCCTGGTTCTTGATTAATCAGAAATGATAGCAGATGACATCACATTAAGATGCCATTTGAGAAATGAGATTTATCCAGACCTTCAAGTTTACCCAGACCACAGGTTGCATGAGAAAGTGTCCCTAAGCCCCATATCCTTGTATTTTTGCATTAAATGTAGTTTTATACCTATTTAATTCAGCTTAAAAATTTTACAATAAGAAATAAATTTTTAAAAAAGGCCCTTACCCACTGGAGGAATTTATTTAATTAAATATTAGGTTAAAAATGATTTTTAACTAAAATATTTTATAATTTAATAGGCCAGGTGGTTACAGCTCTTCGATTTGGTGGAAAAACAATGCCAAGAACAGATAGTTGCCCGGCAGGAACAGTTTCACAACCAAATTCAAGTAAGTTGTTATTTGTATTGATTTTTTTTAATATTGTAAGGTTTGCAGAAGAACCAATTAATACTCTCAGTTTTGTTTGTAAACTAAAGATAAAGCATACGTATTATCTTTACTATAATATCATCATATTTTTAAGGACAATATTTTCATAACATCTATAAAAATGTGATGTTTAATATACTTTCTTACCCAAATCTATAACTTTATTTTCAGCGTATACAAGAAGAGATTAAAAATTTAGTCAAGTTACAGACCAGTAATGCTTCCTGGGCCTCCTGTGATAGAAGTTCTTTAGGTAAACACACATCTTCAGAAAGTCAAATGGGTTTTTTTTCTGAAAACAGTGAGAGAAATGAACCTGTTGTTAGTTACCCTAAGTCTAAGGAACCTGAAATGCAGCAGGAAGCATCCGCATCACACCCAGACTGCATCGTGGACAGCAGCTCAGTGAGCAGCGGGTATGGTACCTTTTGTGTCTCAGAATTAAATTCCTACAAATCGAAGGACCCTCAGGAGTTCATGGAGCTCCAAGAGTTTTCTAAAGGACGGTACGGAGCGCCTGTGGTGCCGACGGAGTCACCTGTAGATGGTGTAAAAAACAAGAGTTTTTATATCCATGCTACTGAGGAGTTCGGTGCATCTTTAAAGGAAGATATTTCCACTTTTCCTGGTGAACTTGAGCACAATTTTCTTGGTGAAAGTAAGATTTCGGAAGTATACGGTGGAAAAACAAATAGGTGAGTAGAATTTCTCCATCATTTAAAGGTAGTTTTACTGGTTTATTACATTTAGAATATAGTAAATAAATCACCTTTTAGCTGGACTATATTAGAAAGAGATGTGTTTGAACATTTATCAGTTTTATCAAATTCTTTTATTGTCTGTGGAAAATTGAAATAAACAAAGCATATTGTATACTAATGACATCTCACTTTCTTCCTATTTGCAATGCTGTAAGACTACTACTAAACTCTTAAGGTGGGGGGTCTTGCCAGAAAGGTACTTTTATATTTTCTGGTCACTATAAACTTACTAAAAATTAGAGTATGGGACTCTATCAACAGTGGAATTTTGTCACACATACTCATATAATTTGAAACCAAAAAGTATACACAAGCATACTCAATTCTATGTTTTTTTATATATAAAAAGAGACTTTGTAAGTTTAATGACATTTTGATTGCCCAGGGGACTTTTTAGTGAAGGAAACGTGACTGAATGTTTGTAAAGCCAATAATCATTTAAAATCATTTAAAAAAATCATTTAAAATAAACTTTCAGTTTTATATCTCTGAAATGTGACATCTAAAGTAAGGTATTTAGCTGTAGCAACACAAATCTTTTGTATACACAGTATAATTATTATTTCCTGTAAATAAATATGCTTTCACAGTGCTTTTAGTACTGGAAGGGGCCGTGGGACAGTTTTCGTTCTGTCCCGTGGCTGCAGACTATATGTATTGTTAATCACTGGTCATCTGTTTGTTGGCTTTGTCTTGGGCAAAGGAATTTAGGTGAATCAATACAAATCCATCCTCTGCTGTCAGAAAAGCACATCAAAGCATTTTCCACTGACTCTGTGTCTACCAGTGTTTTGATTTATTGTGAAGGACAGCATCTAAAGAGAGTACTTTTGGTCTTCTCTTTTTAAATAGTAAATCTATAACATCATGGGCACAAAAGCTGAAGCAGAACCAACCAAAGAGAGCACATGCAGAAGAGGGGTTTTCAAAATCTGTGCAAGGAAGTGAGCAAATCAAGAAATCACCAACGGAGAAAGTAGGTGAAAAGTCCCCTCCCTCTGGCATGCTTCAGTGCTGGTAATTATGTTGGGTTTACCAAACCGGCCTTTTTTTTTTTTTTTTTTTTTTTTTGGGGGGGAACATTAGCCCTGAGCTAACATCTGCCAATCCTCCTCTTTTTGCTGAAGGAAGGAAGGCCCTGAGCTAACATCCATGCCCATCTTCCTCTGCTTTCTGTGTGAGATGCCTACCACAGCATGGCTTGATAAGCGGTGCCGTGTCCGCGCCTGGGATCCGAAAAGGTGAACCCCGGGCGGCCGAAGCGGAACATGTGAATTTAACCGCTGTGCCAACAGGCCAGCTCCCATTGGGTTTACCAAATGCTCATCCATTTGACATTTTTTGCCTTTTCTTTTGTATTATTTATTTGTTCTGTTGATATATCTTCCTTTTGGTGTCTCAGAGGATTGGAAACAGTGATTTGCTCTAAGTATTGGTTCTTTAGTAGGCCAGAAATAAAAACTAATGAGGGATAAAATACTATAAGAAATGAACCGTTTTGTAAAGATCTTAATTCTGTTTGCAGTGCAAATGTTTATATTTAGCCAGGGAGTAATCCATTTAATTGTTTTTAGAAAACCCTCAAGTAATTTATACTACTGTTAAGTTGTAAGAAGTAGTATTATATGTGTGAATGCTTATGATGGCTTTATAAAAAAATGTGGAAGTTTGGACAACTCTGAATTTATAATCCAAATTGTAAGAGATTAAATGTTTAAGTTCTGTGCGGCCCTTTTGCTAATGTAGCAGCTGCTTTGGCAAGTGTCACACATCTTTAAAGCCTTTTTGGTCTAAATTGCCATCGAAAACATTGTTTAGTATAATACATTGAAATTCAAAAGTCAGGTTTCTCTACAAACTTGACACCTTTAGAAATTGGCCATGTCTTGATCATCCTAAACATACTCTTTCCATCATCCTATGAAAAAGATCTATTAAAGAGGAGAAGTTGAAAGAAGACGGTCGCTCAGCCTTCACAAGGCACTGTTTCTTCCTCTTTGCTTTCAGTAAATTTTCTTTCTTCAGCCCGTGATACTTAGGCTCCCTAGTATCACCGTTCTTTAAACTTACTCAGATTTGTGTGGAGGAGGGAAGTGAAGGTGAAGAAAGCGGCGTGAACCGAAAGCGTCTGCCCAGGTCCCAGACGTGGCCTCTAGTGCTGCCTTGGTAGCACTCTTCTTTTGCGCCTGTGCGCCATCAAGGACGGTGTGTTCTTGTCTGGTGTGATAGCGTGAACGCCTTTGGAGGCTGGGCTGGAAGTTGCGTTTTCATTGGAATAGGTTGGCAGAAAGGGAGAAGAATGTTTTCATACATACTGATTTCTTTTCTTCTGTTTTCACCTTAACTGAAACTCGGTCTGGAGAGACTTTTCCACTTGTCATAAACTTTGAGTTTGTGGTATGTGACTTGGTACCTTCACTGGTTTTCTTGTCTTTTGTGACCTAGCTCATTATTTATTCAGTGTAGCACAGTGGTTCCCAAACTTTGCTGCACATGAGAGCCTCCTGAGGAGCTTAAAAAGTCGACTTGTGCCCGGCTGCCAACCCCATCGGTCTGCCCTCTTTGGTGCGCGCATGACCTGTGTATCAGGAGGCTTCAGAGCTCCTCAGGTGATTCTCGTGTGCTGTCAAGCGTGGGAACCACTGGTCTAGCCTCATTTTCCTCTTCGGCTTGTTGGAGAGTCAGACCAGTAGCAGGAAGATCAGGCGCCCTGCTGAGAACTGCCCTTGGGGATAGGCCTGCCTCTGCTGATGGCAGAGCGTGGAGAGTGGAAGCCACGATGAGGGGGTGATTCCCGTTGAGGAGGATTTTTCCTCTTCTTTGATCTATCTCCTGGACAAGTTTTTTTTTTTTTTTCTTTTTAAGGTGAATGATATTTTTGGTATTAAATCATTAGGGAAATCGAGTTTCTTTGATATTTGAGTTTTAAATGATTTTCGGGTAATAGTGGTTGGGAATCAAAGACACCGCACCTGAAATACTTTTCTTACGTGCGTAATTCTGAATCAAATTCTGTGGATTCACAAAAGTCAGAACTTTCCTCTTTATTTCATCCTTTCTCTTCTCCTGTTGTTTTCCAGTTTCAGTGGAACTCTGGGAATCCTCCTGATCAGATTTCTCTTGAGATCCAGTTTCCTTTTTATGCAGTGGTCATTTATAGGGTCCTGCCTATTCTGAGGCACATCTTGAGGTTGGATATTGTTGAGCATAAGGGTTTCCCGAAGCTCCGGTCCTTGTCTCCTGGGTCCTTTGTCTTGCACAGACTTGACGTTGCCGTTTCCCAGGCTGTGGGACGTGGTGGTTTTCAGATGGGCTGATAGACTGTCCCCCACACTGATGAAGTGCCTTGCTTGGGTCAGCTTCTTGGGAAGGGGTTTCCATCGCCCCATATTTTCCTTTCTCAGTCAAAGCTGGGCCTGTTTTCTTCAGCCGATGCTTGTTTGCCTGAAGGAGAGGAGAGGCAGCCGTGTCTGGTGAGCCCCGCTCCAGCCACTGGGGTGGAGTGTCTGCCGAGTGCCTTACAGTGTGCACCTCAGAATCGGGAAGAGGACACTATTTTACTTGCGTTTTTTCACTTAGTCTTCTCCACTCACCTTTTCCTGCTCTTTTAATTACTGACACTTGACAGAAATTTGAACAGGTAGGAGTTTTAGACAAGGCAAAAGATGACCTAGGAATTTCTCGTGATGGGCAAGAGGCTAAGGGATGCCTTCGAGGCGAGGTGGTGGGGAGCATCATTATCTCAGCGAGCTTTTACTTTGAAGGGGGTCCGTGGATGGCTTTAAGCAAAGACAGCTTAGATGCTTTAACAGGAATTAGAAGTTTGATCATGATGGAATTCACAAGAAAAATTCTGGTAAAAATAGTCTTTTCACATAGTTCTGTTTGGAAACAGATTTCTGTGACAATGCCAGAGATATTTTGAGGAGAGATTAGCTCAGAATTATTGGAATTGATGATAAGTAAGCCTTTGGAGCCTTTTCCGGGGCTAATAACCAATTGTTTGTATTTAAAGTTCATATTAATTATTGTTTGCGGTTTTCAGAGTTGATTTGACTTATAAAAAGGAATTTTATAGCTTTTACATTAATTTTTATACTAAATGACTTTAATTCTAGGCTCTTCCAATTTCTTTTGGAAGTAGATGGCAAATTATAAATACATTTTCATTCTGAACTCATTAAGTAACACCTGCTCCCAGTTTTCTCCTTGAAGCTCCACGGAAAACTAAAATAAACATCTGTAAATTACATAGGAAAAGAAAATCCTTCACTGTTAGTTCCTATCATTTTGCTTTCTTGTAACCACAGGGAGAAACCAGGCTCCTTGTTCATGAACCTTGTGAACGTTTCTCCAGGCCTGAGTTTGACACCCGGCTCTCATTCCTTGGGTCAGCAGTTTGTGCCTAATGATTTTTAGCTGTCGCTAATAGTTTTCTTTCTTGGATTGTAGTCTGACTTCACTGCTGCTACACATCCTCGTGCTTTTTACCTCAATAAACCAGATGAGAGTCCAAATTCTTGGAAGTCTGATTCAGGAACAGGTATGATACTTGTGTGTATGTGTGTGTGTGTGTGTATATGTATATGTATATATATTTTTTTCCCCTTGAGGAAGATTCACCCTGAGCTGACATCTACTGCCGATCTTCCTCTTTCTTTTTGCTTGAGGAAGAGTTGCCCTGAACTAACATCTGTGCTAATCTTCCTCTCTTTTGTACGTGAGATGCTGCCACAGCCCGGCTGACAAGTAGTGTAGGTCCATGCTCAGAATCTGAACCCTGGAACTTGGGCCACTAAAGCAGAGCATGCAGAACCTTAACCACTACACCATGGGGCTGGCCCCCTGGATACTTATATTTTAAAGAGTTTTTTAAAATAACAGCTTGTCTGCATTTCTCATAGGATGATAATCACGTACAGTATATTAGAGTGGTTTCTGTAAATATATTAGGTGGTTTGCCTCTGGTAGGTATAACTTCCTTACTTGCCTTAATTTGTGTTACGAATTCTGTAAAGATAGAAAGACAGACTTTTGCAGTTAATTCGAACAGCTGCAAAAATCATCTCGGCATTTTTCAGGTGCCCCAAAATGAATTAAGAAATTTAAACCCTCTGTGAGCCATTCTTAACTCTCTGTGGTAAGCTTATTTTAGTTTAATGATTTTACATGCTGGCTCTTTTTCTCCCACAATCCCACATCCAATTCATCAGGAGGAATTAGCTCTGCTTTATGAAAATTGCCAGAATGCAACCCACCTTCCCGCTGTCACGCTCATGGAGCCCCCATCATCTGTCACCTGGGCTCCTGTAACTTCCTAACCAGCCTCCCCGTTCTCACTCCTGCACTTGCCATTTTCTCCACACAGTAGCCAATGTTATCCTTTTCAGAGATAATTCAGATCATGTGACTCCTCTGTTCAAAATTCTGCGGTGGTTTGGCTTCCTTAGAATAACAGCCAGGGTCCTTACAGAGGCCCAAAGGCCCAGCAAGATCTAGCTTTTTCTCTTTCACCTCACTTTATGCTACACTTTCCCTTTCTCTGCTCAGCAGGGAGGCTGTTTGCTCAAATGTGCCAGATATCTTCTCATTTTAGGGCTTTTGCATTGGTTGCTGGCTTCTTGGAATGTTCTTCTCCCAGTTTGGGGGAACTCCCTCATATGTGGCTAAAATGGCAGCCTTCTTAATTTTTACCCTTGCAATGCGCCAACCCTGACCACCCTAGTCAAAGAGAGCAGCTGCCCTCCACTCCCCGCACATTACATATCCCCTTTTACCCGATTTGTAAATGCACCGTCAGAGTGCTCGCCACCTTCTAACACACTGGACGTGCTGCGTGATTTACTTATTACTTGTGTCTCACTCTTCCTGCTCCCCGAGCCTGGCAGAGTAAAAGCTCAATAAGTATTCGAATTATTGAATTTTTTACATTGCTTCCCTGGAAGTCTGTACTATTCATAAAGAAATTATCGTCTTTTAAAAATATTTTTTAAATTGCACTAGTTTATCTTGACTTTTAATATAATATTTCAGTTTTAAATGTTTGGATCATTAAGTTAGGACTCTTAGAAGGTAAGGCACTCATGTGAATCTTTTCCCATCCAAATTCAGCTTCCTGTATCCGGACAGCCAACAGCTAGTCACTTCCCATGTTTTCTTTAGGTAGAAATAAGTTATTCTAGAAGGGATCCTGTTCTTGTTCCTCACTCTTTGCTGTTCTGTGTCTTTGTACATGGCAGGACTGACTGACTGGAAGCGGGAAGAGAAGGACACGTATCACTCTTTGCCTGAGACTTTAGAGAAGGACGTGTCACCAAGCCAGGTAATTTGAAACACAGTACCCTTATGTATTTACACGTACAATTGTAGTTAAGTACTCTATTTCATTACAAATTTTGTAGTTTTCAATTTCTGATACAGAAAAAAGCATAGTCTTTATATCATACTCACCTGCTTTCAGATTCTGTCTCTGTCATTCACTACCTCTATGATCTTAGGAAGTTACTTAAAAATGGAATTAAAAATGCCCGGGGAGTGTTTTGTGAAATTAAATGAGATGGTTTTTTGCCTACTACTTAAACATAGTAGATCCACAGATAAACTTTTCCTGTTGCCAGACCTGGTTTTGATTTTCCATCCTATTATACTGTCCCACTAATTGATCTGTACCACAATTCTGAGCAGTTTAATTTGCTGTATTAATTTTCTTTGAGCAAGAAATGTAAATATTTTGTTTACTTCAGAGCAAAGAAATAAAACTGTCCAGTATGTGTACATCGAGGTACATGTCTCACTTCTGGGTTTTGATCAGGTGATGAGAGAGTAGGTTGGGGAAAGGGAGAGATACAATTAAAGTAAGCAGGTGAGGTGTGAGCACAAGTGACAGGTGTAGACAGATGGGGCAGCAGGGGACCAGCATACTTGTCAGCATCAGTCCCACGGAAGGACAGAAACCAGCATTTCATCCTTCAGGAAAGGAGCAAAGAAGAGAGACGGATAAACGCAAAGAGAAAGGAAGGATGGGGAAGTGAGATTGCGGGGCTGGCAGGCTCCGTGGGCTTGGTGGTTATGGGGCTCGCTGTGTGTGTTAGCGGATCTGCAACATCAGTAAATTGACACTAGACTGCGCTCACTCTAAGCTGCCATCAATTTTAAGACTTCTCTTCTGTTTCATCGTCTACCAAGAAAAAAAATTTACCAATTAGACTGATACAATGCTTTCTTATCACTTAGAATTTATATTTTCTTGCAGAAAGAGCTTGTAGACTTAAACGTAGATGTGTATCATGTAACTTATACATAGTCTCACAGCACGTAATGGTGTTTTGTCAATGATGGACTGCACGAATGATAGTGGTCCCTTAAGATTAGTACCATACAGCCTAGGTGTGTAGTAGGCTGTACCTTCTAGGTGTGTGTAAGTGCACTCTGTGACGTTTGCACAATGATGAAGTCGCCTAATGATGCGTTTCTCAGAATGTATCCCTGTCATCGAGTGACATATGACTTTACTTAAAAAAGGAAAATATAAATGAAGTAAATTGGTTAAAACTTCTTCACCTACAGAAGCTTGCACTCCTCCCTTTGTCTCAGTGTTGGTCTCTATGTTTTTCCATGTACCATTTTCCTCGGGCCATCGAGCATTGGTGATTTGGCATTTTTTTAAAAAAAGATGAAAGGCCTTGGTGCTGAGTTTTTACCTGGCTTGGTAGTTATGTAGAACTGGCCTACTTTTGACTCCCAGAGGGGGAATGTTGCTAAACATGTCTGATTCACCATCCCGTAAAGACTGGTTCTCAGGGATTCCAGTGTAGGCTCTAGGATTTTCTTCCAAGCTGCTGACACTTATTTGGCCAATTTTGATGGCTTTGGTATTTGCTTATGAGCAAGCAATGACAATTAGGTCACAACTGCTACTTGACCGAAAGTAGTTGTAAGATGCCATTAATTACAAGAGGCATCCGCACTTCAGAGATGTCAAAATATGAAAAGAAATCATAAAAGTGGTGAAAAGTGATACCTTGTATTACTGTGAACTCTAAATACAATAATTCTCCTGTTTACCCAGGCTACGAGGCAGGGCTTCCTCAGGCTGCCCCACAGCCAGAGCACTGCTACCTGCCATGGCCTTCAAGGCTTGAAGGGGACCTCTAGGTTGTTGGTATATAAAAAGTAAAATTCCAAAGCAGGATTACAGAAATATCTGGTAAATTTTAAGGGTTTACATTGAACAAATTAATGCCTCTGATGCACGCACACAGAAAGTATAATTAATTGTCTTATTCACAAGTTAGGTATAGGATTTATTAAAAAATATTAATTTATGGCACTCTGCAGCCTGTGTAGTAGGGTCTGGAAGTGGGACATAAGTTTAAAGCTCTGTGCTGAATGTGTTCTTTCGGTTCATCTCTTGTTAAATCTGTGATCTTGTTTGAGAGAATGTCCAGTTTAAATTCAGGGCCCAGGGTTAGATGGTACCCTGTCATGCCCTACAGTAGGTTCCACCTTGAAATAATTTAAGTCCAAGGTGTTAATATTTGAAGCTTAGACCTCTTTGCAACATTTCCAGTGTAGCAAAGCTCTAATTTGAACCTGTAGAAATTAGGGACATATCTTCTTATTCTATTGATTAAAAAAGAAGCTTATTTTCATCGAGTAACTTCTTAACTCTTCTTGTCGGCCAACTCTTAAACGTGAATGTATTTACATAGATGAGGAACTCCACCTCTGATACCTGTCCCCTTGAGTTGCAGGAAATTCCTCTCGTGAGAAGTTTCCTCGTCCTGCTTCAGTCATTCATCATGAAGTCTTTTCTGACCTCCAAACTTGGTTCTCACTTTGAGTAGGGGACTACCAAGGATTTTATTCTTTGGAAGTATTCTTAGGCTGCTAAACAACTTAGGTTCAAATTATCCCCTTAGTATTTATGGTTAGGGGATGTGAAAACTTTTTCATTCTGAAGGGGACTCATAATAATAGGTAATGACTTCCAAACTTTTATTATAAATCTTGTCAGTCTAGAGTCTTAATTTATTTAAAATTTTCAGAATCTTTTTGTGGTGCTGATCTTGATATCAGTAAATTTTCTTCATCATTGATAATACCGTTTAAATAATTTTGTTTCATATTTTTAAGTCTAATACTAGTAATGAGATGAAGCTACCATCACTGAAGGATATTTATCATAAAAAACAAAGGGAAAACAAGCAGTTACCCGAGAGGAATCTCACCTCTGCTTCCAACCCAAATCATCCACCAGAGGTAAAGTTGTTAACACTCTGCTGAGTGAAAATGAAAGATGCTTCGTGACTAACTTTATCTTAAGCTTAATTTTCCCTAGGAGATCTAAAGCCTACTCTCTTAAAAACAAAAACTGGATACTGAGGGTGAAGCCTCACTGTTGTCTTTCTGATTTCTAGGTACTGACTTTAGATCCAACGTTACACATGAAGCCGAATCAGCAGATTTCTGGGATTCAACCACATGGCTTTTTGAATGCCCTTGATGACAGAATATCCTTTTCACCAGACTCTGTTCTAGAACCTAGTATGTCTAGTCACTCTGACATAGACTCATTTTCACAAGCAAGTAACATTGCTTCTCAGTTATCTGGATTCCCAAAATATCTGTCAAGTACAAAAACTTCACCAGTGGACCCTTGGAAAAATCATGCATTCCAGAACGAAAGTAGGACCAGCTCCACGTTTCCTTCAGTGTATACTATTACTAGTAACGACATCTCAGTCAACACTGTGGATGAAGAAAACACTGTCATGGTAACTGCAGCCTCACTCGGTCAGTCCCAGTTTCCAGGTACAGCCAACAGTGTCCCAGAATGCATTTCATTGACTTCCCTGGAAGATCCTGTGATATTGTCTAAGTATGTATTTCAGTGAATGGCTTGTAATGTTAATAGATTTTCTATGATGTCTGCTTAAATGATGAAAATGATTTTTATTGAACTTTAGTAATGTATAATCTTAAAAAAAGAGATGTAGCATTTTTAAGGTAGAGCATCTAAAAATTAAATGATACATGCTTTCTTTCCTTCACTTTATTAGTGGTCAACTTATGAATTAATTTATTATTTTCTGTGGGTGTGCGAAGGAAAAAGACTGTACTTTTGCTTATGAGTGACTATATTTTTGGTTTCTTTTACAGGATAGAGAGTGAAGAGATGCTTTCCTAATGATGTTTTTCACTCCCACCAACAGGATTAGGCGGAACCTGAGGGAGAAGCATGCTCGACACGTAGCAGATCTTCGAGCTTATTATGAATCAGAAATAAACAGTTTGAGACAGAAACTGGAGGCCAAAGAAAGTTCTGCAGTTGAGGATTGGAAGAAAACCAATCAAATTCTTATAGACAGGTAAAACTTATAATTTAACTGTAAAGTTAATGTTTCTCCAACTTGGATAGATTATTTTCCCCAAATGTGATATGTTGTGATGATAAAGCACTTTGAAAACGTTTCAGATTTGAAAATTTTAAGACAGAAAAGTGTTTGCCTAAGTAATTATTTTTACAGATTTGAACCAACCTCTTACAATACACTTATAACTGACATGAGGACATTTGTTTCATATGGGCAAAATACTGAAACAGTTGAGCAGATTTTGTATACAGAGAGGAATGTCATTTATGGAAGGATTAGTACAGCATATGGATTCTCTAATAAGAAGTCTGTGACTAATGTCCTGGGGCAGTTCTCACCCCATTTTTATTTATTTTTTATTTTTTAATTAAATTTTTTTTTTGAGGAAGCTTAGCCCTGAGCTAACTACTGCCACTCCTCCTCTTTTTGCTGAGGAAGACTGGCCCTGAGCTAACATCCATGCCCATCTTCCACTACTTTATATGTGGGACGCCTACCACAGCGTGGCTTTTGCCGAGCCATGCCGTGTCCACACCCAGGATCCAAACTGATGAACCCTGGGCCGCTGAGAAGTGGAACGTGCGAACTTAACGGCTGTGCCACTGGGCTGGCCCCTCACCCCGTTTTTATAGCCAGATACTCAATGACTTTATCTCAGACACTCATGAATCTGTGGAAGCAATTATCCTGTTCAAAAAACCCATGGAAACACAGAGGAGAATGGCCCTTTTATTTATTTTTTATTGCAGTAACATTGGTTTGTAACATTATATAAATTTTGGGTGTACATTGTTATATTTCGATTTCTTTGTAGATTACATCATGTTCACCACTCAAAGACCAGTCTATCACCACACATATGTGCCTAATGACCCCTTTCACCCTCACCCCTCCCCCCTTCCTCTCTGGTAACCACCAGTCCAATCTCTGTCTCTGTGATGGCTCTTCTCCTTATGAGTGAGATCAGACGGTATTTGACTTTCTCCCTCTGACTTATTTCACTAGCATAATACCCTCAAGGTCCATCCATGTTGTCACAAATGGCCGGATGTCATCATTTCTTATGGCTGAGTAGTATTCCATTGTGTATATTTACCACATCGAGAATGACCTTGTATTAGGCATAGCTTTACACCTATTTTAGAGAGAGAGAATCATCTACACAATTTGATGCTTTAACTAGTGTTAATAATAGCATACTTGCAACATACTTTCAATTAAGTGGGACTTAAGCACACTGAAAATTGCTCAGGTCTAGATGATAGCAAAGGATTCTTCTCTAGGGCAAAAAAGACAAAGCCCCTTGAAAAAAGGTTAGGAAGGAACTGAAATCTTCTGGTCCAGTTGACAGTTTAATTTGCAGAATTCTAGGGAAACTAGCTGTTACACTAGTTTGTGCTTGCTGTGGTAGTTAACACGCTGTCGTATTCCTGAGTGTTTGTACAGCTTCCGGTTTGCTGCTATTGGTGGGGATGGGGCACAATGGTAGAGAGAAGTGATTTGAAAAGGGCCAGAAAAAAAAGCCAGGCTTAGGCTTTCTATGACCAAAGGGAAAGAGTAGATAGTAGGCTAGGGAAAGTTGCTCCTTTTTTTTTTTTTTTTTAAGACGACAAAGCTGGCCACAGGTACTTCCTGTTGGAAAACAAGTGTGAAAAAAATCCATCGGTGGACCTTGTTAGGGTAAAGACAGGGTGCCAAAGAAGACCCTAGTAAATGACAGCTAGTTAAAGCATTTCCATATCTAGAAACTGCTAGAGCACAAGGAGCAGTGAGAGAATGTATGTGGAGCAGATTGGAAGTCAGTTTTCTTTTTGTTTGTTTGTTTGTTTGTGGGGTTTTTTTGGTGAGGAAGATTATCCCTGAGCTAACGTCTGTTTCTGATCTTCCTCTTTTTGCTTGAGGAAGGTTGTCCCTGAACTAACGTCTGTGCCAGTCTTCCTCTATTTTGTATGTGGGATGCTGCCACAGCATGGCTTGATGAGCAGTGTGTAGGCATGCGTCCAGGATCCAAACCAGCAAAATCCGGGGTACTGAAGTAGAGCACGCAAACTTAACCACTACGCCACTGGGCTGGCCCCCAGAGTTTTCTGGAAGTGGATGTGTTATAACAATAACAGCAGCAATGTAGGGTACTGGAGTAAATATAACAACAGCGTGCAAGTGAATAGCAATACATTATTTTCTCCTACTACTCCCAAAAGGATTCAACTTCGCTTAAACAGTATAAAACTGTGTTACAGATGACAATAGAAACAAAATGACAAGTTGTAATCATTTAGAACTGGAGAAGTGATTCACCTAAGACCAAAACCAATATTATGTTGTCAGCATACACAGCAGCACTTTTTTTTCAGACTTAAAATTGCAAATTGGAGAATCCCACTGCTACTGCAAATGGGCCATTAACACTTAGATTGTAGGCCAGCTGTGATATCAGATTGTTATGTCACACAGTTGCAGCTCAGCAGACAAGATGTCTGGCATACCAGAATCAGTGTGGTAATTAACACAGAAAAGTACAGTTAACACACCTACACTTGGCTATTTAGTGATCTTTCTTTCAAGAACAGTTATTAGTACTTCATTTCTGCAAGGCATTAGTGCATAGTGGCTAGGAGTATGAACTCTGGAGCCAGAGGGCCTGGCTTAGAAACTCAGGAGGAATTTAACTTCTCTGCCTTTGTTTTCTCATCTGTAAAATGGGAATGGTGACAGTCCTTACTCATGGAATTGTGAGGATGAATGCAAAGTGCTTAACATAGACTGGATGTGCAATCAGTGCCAAACAGATAGTAGCTTTTATTCACAATACATCATTAAACACTGAGTTAAAATGGTAACCAAATTCTTTAGTACATTTTGTTACTTTGAGGTTCTATGATAATTAACTTTACAAAGAAAGTCTTTCATTATAAGAATAATACATTTATTTGAAAAAGTACAGAAGGCTATATAAGGAGTCTCCGTACCCCAGTCTCTCTTTTCACATCCCAGACTTAATTTCATTTTTTGCTTCCTTCTAGAAATCATAATGCATATATGTGTATAGAGATTTTTTCATAACTAAGATCAAGCTATTTTATGCAGTCTTTTATATCTTTTTTAAAATTAAAATCTTTTTTATTAGTTTTTTTAAAGATTTTATTTTTCCTTTTTCTCCCCAAAGCCCCCCGGTACATAGTTCTGTATTTTTAGTTGTGTGTCCTTCTAGTTGTGACATGTGGGACGGCGCCTCAGCATGGCCTGATCAGTGGTGCCATGTCCACCCCTAGGATTCGAACCGTCAGAACCCTGGGCCGCCGAATCGGAGTACATGAACTTAACCATTCAGCCACGGGGCCGGCCTCTAAATTTTGTTTTTTAATGTGGTAAAATTTAAGTAAAATTTACTGTTTGAACCATTTTTAATTGTACAGTTCACTGGCATTAAGTACATTCACTTTGTGCAACCATCACCACTATCCATCTCCAGAACTTTTTCCTCCTGCAACACTGACACTCTGTACCCGTTAAGCAACAGCTTCGCATTCCCTTCTCCCCCCAGCCCCTGGCAACCATCATTCTACTTTCCGTCTTTATTAATTTGATGTCTCTGGGTACCTTGTATAAGTGGAATCATACAGTATTTGACTGCTTATTTCTCTTAGCATAATGTCCTTGAGGTTTATCCGTGTTGTAGTATGTGTCGGGATTTCCCTCATTTTTAAGACTGAATAATCCATTGTGTCTTTGTATCTGTGTGTGTATATATATTGCATTTGGTTTATCCCTTTGTTCCTTGATGAACACTGGGGTTGCTTCCACCTTTTGGCTGTTGTGAATAATGCTACTGTGAACATGGTTGTACAATGTCTGTTCATATCTTGCTTTTTTCACTTAGTATTTCTTAGGGACCTTTGTATATCGTTATTGCCTCTGGATGCTATAATATCAGGTTCATTGGGATATATTTTACTAAAATGGCATCCTGAGTCTTAGCTAACTTTGGAAAATTTGTTTTATGTTATATATTGGAGAATCAGTTAGATTATATAATATTTTTAAGGGAAAGGATTTTATCTTCTAATTGTTTCATTTCAATTTATGGTTTTTAGATGTGGCCAATTAGATAGTGCTCTGAATGAAGCTACTAGTCGTGTGAGAACACTTGAAAATAAGAATAACTTATTGGAAATAGAAGTGGTAAGTAAGCACCCTATTTTTTGTTGTTCTGTTGACTTAATGTTAAAAATTTAAGCCTTTTTATTAATTGAACTTTACAAATGAATAGTTTTATAAAAACATTGGTTATGTTTTTTGTTGTCTCCTTTAGAATGTCTTAAGTACATTTATATTTTGATTGCTCTTGGCTTCATATGACACTATAAACTTTTACCCTTTAAAATTTGCATATCATAAAACTCACCCTTTTATTTATTTATTTATTTTTTTTTTAAAGATTTTATTTTTTCCTTTTTCTCCCCAAAGCCCCCCAGTACATAGTTGTATATTCTTTGTTGTGGGTCCTTCTAGTTGTAGCATGTGGGACGCTGCCTCAGCGTGGTTTGATGAGCAGTGCCATGTCCGTGCCCAGGATTCGAACCAACGAAACACTGGGCCGCCTGCAGCGGAGCGCACAGACTTAACCACTCGGCCACGGGGCCAGCCCCCTCACCCTTTTATTTTTTTAAATTTTTTAAATTTTTATTTTTTTGAGGAAGATTAGCCCTGAGCTAACTGCTGCTGATCATCCTCTTTTTGCTGAGGAAGACTGGCCCTGAGCTAACGTCTGTGCCCATCTTCTACTTTATATGTGGGATGCCTACCACAGTATGGCGTGCCAAGCGGTGCCATGTCTGCACCTGGGATCGAACCGGCGAACCCCCGAACCCCTGGCCATTGAAGCGGAATGTGCGCACTTAACTGCTGCACCACTGGGCTGGCCCAAAACTCACCCTTTTAAAGTGTACAATTCACTGTTTTTTACTGTATTCACAGACTTGTGCAACCATCGCCACGATAAATTTTAGAACATTTTTCTCAAAAAGAAACTCTGAACCCCTTAGCCGTCACCCCCAACCAACCCCTTCTCCCCAGCCACTGGCAACCTATTCTACTTTCTGTTTCTATAGATTTGCCTCTTCTGGACATTTGATCTAAATGGAATCAAGCAATATGTGACTGTTTCACTTAGCATAATGTTTTCAAGGTTTATCTATGTTGTAGCTTGTATCAGTACATAATTCTTTTTGTGGCCAAGTCATATCTTACTGTATGGCTAGACCACGTTTTGTTTATCTGTGCGTCAGGTGGTGAATGTTTGGGTTGGTTTTACTCTTTGCCTCTTAGGAATAATAGTGCTATGAACATTTGTATACAAGATTTTGTGTGGATATGTTTTCAGTTTTCTTGGATATATAACTAGGAATGCATAAACTTTTAATCTTAAATAAATTTTTTTTTCATGTGATGACCAAGTTTGTTCTTCTGCATGTAACCTTGGAAACAGTGTTTTGGTGCACAATGCCAGTTATGTTCTATACACTGTGTTTTTGTCTTTGATGTCTTTTTAATCTTTGTCTCCTCCTAAACTATAAACTTTATGAAGTTAGGGACTTATCTTTCTTGTTAATCTTATATTTCTAGCACCGTAGTGCCAGGCACCTAGTGGATATTCAAGAAATGATTGTTAAGTGAATATTAATATATCAGATGCATTTTGAATTTTTTATTTTCATAGTAAGTGAGAGAATAGGGTAAGAAATGCTTTTTTCCCCATAAATATTAATGTGCAGTGACAAATTCCAGCTATACTTTCAGAACCGTTTCCCTAATAGCCATGGTTATTTTTTCCTCATTATAGTGATCTACAGATGAGTCCTAGAATCATAATGCCTCAGACAATGATTTCTGTCTCTACTTGATGATAATCTCATGGAGCTAACATTCTAGTAAAGCAATCCTTTCTAGTCTCCATCCCAGGGTTAACAAAATGTTTAAATGTGTTGATTTCCATTTGTAAGTTTTGTTTTATTACTTTTCTTTATATTTTAATACCCACAGTTTATTAGTTGCTTTTGAGACTTCTATTTCTTTTTATTAGAAACAATTTATTATCCTTGTCTTTGTTTTGTAGAATGAGTTCAGAGAACGCTTCAATACAGCCAGCAGTGCCTCCAAAATTTTGCAGGAACGAATTGAGGAAATGAGAACAAGTAATAAAGAAAAAGATAATACCATCATGCGACTAAAATCTAGACTGCAGGATTTAGAAGAAGCCTTTGAGAATGCTTACAAACTCTCAGATGATAAAGAAGCTAGACTGAAACGAGAAAACAAAATGTTTCAAGATGTAAGTGACATTTAATGATAACTTAATGACTTGATTGGCTAAAAGTGATTTTAGATATTGTACTCTTCCAAGCTGTGCTGACTTTTTCCATATTTATTTCTGTGTTACATACCTTTGCTGTAGCTGCAAATATGTACCCTTCTGATGGAGTCAGTTGGGTCTTATCTTGAAGCAGGAAGTCAGAGCTTTCAGAACTGCTGTCGCTCCCACGCCTGTCTGTCTCCCGCAGGTCAACTTTTGAGCTATCTCAGATTAACATCTGTGTCTGGCAGGGTAAAATGAACCGGATTTAGAACAGGTTTGATTGAACTTTTTTCACTTTGATTTAATTTCACTTAAAATTTGGATTCATATAACATTGAAACTGGATTAGGTTTCAGGTTTTCTTAATATCCTCTGTCATGGTATATAAAAAAATCACAGTATTTCAGGTGTTGAAATTTACTTCCTTATAGCTTTAGATTTGATTCTTGTTGCTTTGGTTTTTAGAATTTATTTACATGAAAGTAATACATGTAAATGGTTTAAATAGTCAAATCTCAAATGAAAAACAGCAATCTTTGCCACCTCTCCCTACCTTGGAGTCCAATATCATAGAGGCCGTTACTTTCAGCTCTTTACCTATTCCTTCTAGCATTTTCCTTCATATTTCTAAATAGCAAATTTATGTTGCTCTTTCCTTTTTTCCCCCTCTTTTCAATATCAGACATTATCTATTAACTTCCTTCTGTGCAAGATCACAGTTTAGCTTTCTTTCTGCATTTGTTCCCGATACAAAGATTTCTCCCTCTCCTTCCGATGTGATTAATAGATTAAATTGATTCTAAGAAGCTTATTCTTTTACCTTTTAACAACTCTGAAGTTGGAATGCATCTTTACACCATAGTGTCATATTTTAATGGGCAACATTTTTTTCTCTAGAAAATAACATAAAATAATGGTATGATTTCTAGTCCGTGGTGTCTTACATTTGAAATATGATATATTATCATTTATAGTTCAATCAATATTCAGTATATTGTCTGTAAATATTGTTTAGAGCTAAGCTGTGGTATACAGTGATTACTGTACAGTGATTTCCTTTCTCTTATGACTTTTATTTTTCCTAGAATTCACAATTGCCTTGCTTTTTTATCTGCTTACTTTTCTATATGCCTAGCACTCACTGTCCCCAGCCCCCACCCCAATACCCTTGAGGTCTGACACACAGATGATCTAGGACTCTCCTTCGCTGTCATCCTGGAAACTGTCCTTGCTTCTTTCCTGTTTTGGATCTATTGTCTTCTTTTTCGATTTAACTCTTTGTTTTGCTAGAGTACATCTCCTGAGAAAAAGAATGCCTGGGAGACAACTTTGGAGACTTTCCCTACCTGGAAACTTCCGTAGTATGCAGTCATACTTTACTTTTTAAAAAATACTTTTTTTTTACAACAGTTTTAGATTTACAGAAAAATTGAGACGATAGTAATGTTCCCACATACCCTGCACTGTTTCCCCTCTTATTAACATCTTATATTAGTATGGTATATTTGACACAATTAATGGACCAATATTGATACGTTATTATTAGTTAAACTCCATAGTTTATTCAGATTTCCTTCATTTTTCCCTCATGTTCTTTTTTCTGTTCCAGGACTTTCTACGTTTAGTTGTCCTGTCTCCCTAGGCTCCTCTGGGCTGGGACAGTTTCTCAGACTTCTTTTTGATGACCTTGACAGTTTTGAGGGGTGCTCATCAGATATTTTGTAGGATGTCCCTTGGAATTTTTCTGTTGTTTTTCTCACGACTAGACTGGGGCTTTGGGTTATTAGGAAAATCACAGAAGTACAGTACCATTTTTAGCATATCATTTCAACAAGCACTATATGTTTTTTATTCCTTCACAGTTATTATAGTAAAGTTTCAGGAGGGAGTGGATATAAACACTCTGTTCATTATGCCGTATTTAATTAGAACTTTACATGGCTTTATTACTGTTCTTATTCATATGTATTAATGGTCTCATTTTAGTGCATGTGAATACATGAACTCCTGGTTTTTAAAACTTCTTGTATTTTTTACTTTCACATAATATCAGACTTACAGAAAGTAGTAAAATTGTATAAAGAATTTATATATATCCCTCACTTAGTTTCTGAATGTCAACATTTTACAATATGTGCTTTATCTAATGAACCTTTAACTACTTCAAAGGCAGTCTTTCATATAACCAGATCAAAATTAGGAAGTTAACATAAATATAGTAGTCTTATTTAATTTATATAACTTTTGCAAATTATACTACTAATGTTCTTTATACCAAAAGAAAAGACTTTGTTTTCCCCTTGTCCAGGACCCAATCCAGGACTATATGTTGCATTGAGTTGTCACATCTTTTTAATGTCCTTTAATCTGGAATAGTTCTCAGTTTTTCTTTTTCTTTGTCTTTTATAACCTTAAAACTCTTTGAAGATGATAGAATAATTACCTTATAGAACTGTGCTTTTAATATGGTAGCCACTAGCCACATGTGACTTTTTCAATTTACATTAACTACAATTAAATAAAATTTAAAATTCAGTTCCTCAGTTGTACTCACCGCATTTCAAGTGCCCAGTAGTCACGTGTGGCTAGTGGCTACTGTTTTTAGGGCAGTGCCGATAGAGATTTCTCCCATCCTTGTAGAAAGTTGTGCTGGACAGCACTGTTCCTCATTTTGGGTTTGTGTTTCTTCACAGTTAGATTCCAGTTGTTAGAATGCACAGGAATTCCCCAGAAGTGAGCTGAGCCCTTCTTAGCACACCTGATTAGGAGGCACATGTTGACTTGGTGGTATTAACTTCCATCACTTGGGCAAGGTGGTGATTCCCAGGTGTCTCCACTGGAAGGTTATGGCCCCTGCCTTTTAATTAATGAGTAACTTATGAGAGGATAATTTAAGACTCTGTAAATCACCTTTTTCTCAGTAAACTTTTACCCACTAGCTTTAGCATCCACTGAGGAATCTTGCCTGAAACAAGTAATTACTGTGATGGTTGCCAAATGGTGCTTTTTCCAATTCTGTTGTTCCTTCTACGTTTTACTGAAAGAAGGCACTCTCCTTTCTGCTTTCTTTATTCATATCAGTGTGGGCTCATGGATTCTTATTTTATTCAGTGAGTTATAGTTCTTTTTTACTATGGTTATTATTTGGATGCTTGCATTGTTCTGGTTTTGCCCAAAGGGATACGTGTCAAGCTGGCTTCTGTGTCCTTTCGACCTGCCTATCATTCTTTGAGCCAGTCAAAACTTCTTGGCACAGCAAGATGTTCCAGGCTCATCTTGAACTTTTCCAGCCCCAGCCCTAAATCGGTTCATTTTTCCTTCAAGTGGAAAATGGTATTTAGAAACCGAGATCTAGGTATATTCATTGCTACTGGAATGTCGTCGTTTTTGTTTATTCAAAAACCCACCACAATTGTATTCGAGTAGCAGTGGAGCAGCAGAGAATAGCTAGAATGCTGTTTTCACCTGAAATTATATTAATGTTGCCAGTGGTAACACTCACTTTCTTTGCATTCATCATGTCAAATATTTCAAGCATACGGAGAGGACTAGAGAGTAATACATTGAATAGCCATATACTAGCCATCTGTAGATAGAGTTGAAACACTCTCTTCTTTTCCTTTCTTCCACACCCTAGAGGTGCTGTCTACGCTAAATGTGCTCTTAGTTACCCCCGTGCATTGCTTTTTACTTTTACTACATATGCATGTGTCTGTGAACATATGTATAGTAGTGTTTTGTATGTTCTTAAACTATATATGAATTGTATTGCACTGCATATATTCCTGCTGCAGCCTGTTTGTTTCTCTCAACATTGTTTCTGGGTTTTACCATGTTGATACATGTAGCTTTTATTCATTTTTATTTAAACATTTATATTTGAAATATTTCTGGTATGAAGAATAACACAAGAAGTACACATGGACTCCACCACCCATCCTAAGAATTAAAATACTACAGATACATTGAAGTTCCTCTGTGCCCTTTTCTGATCACCTCTGCCTTTGTAGGAGTAACTGATCTGCATAGTGTGAATGCCATTCCCATGTCTTAGTATTATTACATGTGTGTGTCTGCTTAATCAGTGTGGTTTGTTTGGCATATCTTAAAACTTTATAAATGTTATCATACTGTGTTTACTATTTTGCAATCTTTTTTTATTTGTAAGATTTATCCAAGCAGATACCTGTAGCACTAGTTCATTTGTTTTCATCCCTGTGTAGTATTCCGTTGTGTGAAACTTCCACAGTTTATTTATCCATTTTCTTATTGCCAGTTTCTCTTTATTGCTGTTATGAGCAGTTCTACCATGAACATTCCTATACATTTCTCCTCGTGAACATTTACAAGTACCTCTAGGGTATTGTTCCTGTTACCAGAGCTATAAAACAACCCCAAACTGGACATATTCTCCTCATGGACTCAGGGCTCCAGGACTCTGGCCCGGGCACAGCAGCAGGGGCAGCTTGTCTGCTCTGCCATATCTAGGACCTCAGCTGGAAACTCAAAGGCTGGGAGCTGGTTGTTGATGATGCCTGTAGACTAAGGCTGCCAGTCTTCTCCTTGTGGGCTGATGTGGGCCTCTGTGCAATGTGATGGCTGAGTACCAAGGACAAGTATCCTGAAAGAGTGTCCTGATAGCCACGTTGCCTTTTTTTTTTGAGGAAGATTAGCCCTGAGCTAACATCCACTGCCAATCCTCCTCTTTTTGCTGAGGAAGACTGGCCCTGAGCTAACATCCGTGCCCATCTTCCTCTACTTTATATGTGGGACGCCTACCACAGCATGGCTTTGCCAAGCGGTGCCATGTCCGCAGCCAGGATCCGAACTGGCGAACCCTGGGCTGCCGAAACAGAATGTGCGCACTTAACCACTGTGCCATCCGGCCGGCTCATGATAGCCACGTTGCCTTTTATGACCTAGCCCTGGAAGTCATACAGCATCGCTTCTGTCACATTCTGTTTCTTAAATGGCCCCAAATTCCTGCCCAGGTTCAAGGGAAGAGGAAGTAGATACCACCTCTTAACAGGGCGCAGCAAGATTCTGGAAGAGCCTGTGTGAGCTGAAGTATTGCTGTGGCCGTTTTGGGGACATACTCTGCCGTGAGACTGTGCGCGTGTGAGGGCACAACTGGCACGTAGACTGTGGGCACGGCCGTCTTCCTCAGAATGCTGCTCACTTGCTCGCTGAAGTGGCTGCACCAGTTACTTTCTTACCAGCGATGTATGAGAATTCTTATTTTTCTAGATTGTTCCCAGTGCTTGCTATTGTCAGACCTCTTTCGGTTTGATCCATGTGGAATGGCTGTGTGAATTGCAGTTTTCTTCTCCTGGCTTGTGGCTGGCTTTTCACTATCTGTAGTGTCTGTTATGGGGTACAGGTTTTGTATTTCAGTGTCCAAAATACAGTCTTTTAATTTATGGTTTGGGCCTCCTTTATGTCTTATTTACAAAATCTTTTTCTACCCAAAGATCAGAAAACTATTTTCCTGTATATTGCCTTCTAAAATTGTAAAGCTTTGCTTTATATATTTAGGCCTTTAATCTGCCCCAAATTCTCTCTCATCTATGGTATTGAACTTGAGGAATTGAACTTGATTTTTTTTCCAAATGATTAACGGTTGTTGAAGGACCCTTTTTAAATAGATTATCCTTTCCTTACTGACCTTTAATGCCACCTCTGTTGTATATTACGTTTCTTTCCTGTATGAGTGTGTTTTGGCGCTCTCTGGTCTGCTCTGCTGATCTGTTTATTTGTCCCTGAGTTGAAACCACACTGTGGGGGAGGAAGAACTGTCCCTCTGCCCTCTAGGTCCCTCTAGCTGGTCTAGGAATTAAATTGACATGAGACTCGGGACTGCTGAAGTGGCATGTGTGAACTTAACTGCTGCAGCACTGGGCCAGCCCCTATTTTATTTCATATAAATATTACCATCAGCGTAACGCATTTCATGAAAAACTCTGCTTTTGGTTGGAATTGTACTGAATTTATAGATGGAATTCAGGACAACTGAGACTTATAATATTGAATCTTGCCATACATAAATGTGAACATGGTTTATATCTCTGTTGCTTTAAATCTTTAAAAAAGAAGTCTCTCACCAAAGTAGTACACTTTTTTTTTTGCTGAGGAAGATTTGCCCTGAGCTAACATAGGTGCCAATCTTCCTCTTTTTTTTTTTTGCTTGAGGAAGGTTCACCCTAAGCTAACATCTGTGCCACTCTTTCTCTGTTTTGTACGTAGCTTGCTGCCACAGCACAGCAGCCAAAGAGTGGTGTAGGTCTGCTCCCAGGAACCGAACCAGAGCCGCCAAAGTGGAGCATGCCGAACTTAACCACTAGGCCGCAGGGCTGGCCCCAGTATTATACTTTTTTTTTTTTTTACATCCTATGTTAGCTTTTTCCTCTTAGGCACCATATTCTAGTATTTATCTCTGTATTTCTAAATAAGGTGCTTATATTGTTTCTTGAATTTTTAACCTGTCCATAATTATTGTGGATGAAGATTTAGTTCCTTTGCATGTCACTGGGCTGAGTATAGAATTCTGGCTCTCTGTTTTCTTTCCATCAGAATTTTGAAGACTTTGTCCTGTTGTTTTCTGTTGCCCGTGAGATACCTGAGGATCACTTCTCTTCCTTCTGCCCCCACCCCCGTCCCATGGCTTTTGTTTTTCCTCCATCTTTTTGTTTTAAAAGCTTGAAGGCTGCAGAAGAAGCGTAAGAATGGTGCAGTGACAACTTGTGTCTATTCCTTACCTAGATTCCCCAAGCGTGAGTTTTACACGTTCGCTTTTTGTCTTTGTGGTGTACAAACAGTTTCCTCTTGCCGAACTCTTTGGGAGTAAATTGCAGGCATTGTGAGGTTATATCCCTAAATTCTTCCACAGGTAGCTCCCAAGAACAAGGACACTACCTTCTCTTGCATCATCTCAGCCCAATTATCATACTTGGGAATTTAACATTGATATAATACTAGTATCTAGTATGCAGTCTGTATTCAAATTTCCCCACTTATCTAAATAATGTCCTTTATAGGTGTTTAGGTTTGTGCTTTTTGGTCTGGAAGCCAGCCAAGGATCAGACATTGCATTTAGTAGTTGTGTTTCTCATTCCTTTTGAATGAGTTCAGAGCTCCTCCTGGAAGTCTGTCAACACCTCCTTTTTGTCCTCAGTGCTCTGAATTCTGTGACAGTGTGCCTTGATGGACTGGCTCTTTTTTGTTCATCATTTGGGACGCAGGTTCTTCCAGTCTCGAAATTAATGTCTTTCAGTTCTGTAAAACTTGCTAATTTCTCAATTAATTTCCTACTTCTCTTTTCTCTGTTCTCTCTTTCTGGAACTTTTACCAGTAGATGTAGCATTACATGGGTTGATTCTCTAAGACTTTTTCATGCTTTAGTTTGCATCATCGCCTCTTTATTCTTTATTTTCTGGTCTCAGTATCAAATTTATGTCCTCTCTCTAAGCTTCTAAGAGCTTTTTCTTGTTCTCTGATTTAGTTTTTCATAGCTTTTTTTTTCGTTTTGCTCAGGAAGATTCCCCATGAGCTAACATCTGTGCCAATCTTCCTCTTTTTTTGTATGTGGGACGCCGCCACAGTTTGGCTGATGAATGGTGTAGGTCTGTTCCTGGAATCCAAACCTGTGAACCCAGGCCGCTGAAGTGGAGTGCACTGAACCATGCCATGAGACCAGTCCCTGCATAGCTTTCTGTTCTTGTTTTATGCATATAATGTTATTTCTCTGAAGATATTAATAACAGCTTCTTTCAATCCTTTCTTTAGTTTGGATTCATTATTTCTTCTAAGTTAACCTTTCATTTTGACTTGAAGTGTATTTCATAGTGAACGTTTTTTTCAATGTTGCTGCTTTTATAGGCTCTCATTTGAGAGTGGGGTGGCAAAAAGCTATTTGGAGTCTCTGCACAGATGGGACTTGTTTCCTGGTAGCCTTCATTTATGGGCAACTGTAGAGTATGCACCAGCCATTTGCCTAGGAACCTCCAGATGTGAATATGTGGAGGTCTTTTTCCTGAGGTTGTTCAGTTTTCCAGTGTCTGGTCTGGGACCCATCAACCAGGCTCTGGGGCAGTGAGGGAGGGAGAATGAGGTTGGTATTTTTGAAAACTTGTCCTCAGTCATTTTCTCTTTATCCCTTTGCCTCCCCGCCTCTGTTACTTGGGTTTCCAAAGTTGTGTTTTTCTCCCATTCATGTCTCCGGTGTCTGTTGCCTGGCTGGACTGTCCACTGCTGCGTGGGGTCGGGGAAGGCCTGGGCTCCCACCGCTCTGCTTAAGGACTTTCTGCCTGGTGGGCAGCCCTGTGCTTCAGCCGTCTCCACTTCGGAACCTGCGATGCAAGTCTGAGCCTCTCCAGGGTGTGAAGAGATCAGCCTTCTTGCCCTGGGCATCCTTTATTCAGGCCCTGGAGGGTGTAGCCTCCCCTGCCCAGCTAGTCTTCATTGCAATCTCTCCCTGTTGCTGTTCCCACTTTGGTTTTCTCTTTAATTGCTTCATTGTTACTTTAGTGGGCTCTCAGGGCACAGAGAGAATTCTGTGAAGAATCTGTCCTCTTTAACCGGAAGTCTCATGTACATATTTTTAAATAAATTACCTGATTATATTAGACTTAGCTTGTACCTTTACTCTGGAACTAGCTTAGCAAAAAGTAGTACACGGCAATTCAAAAGAGAACAGTGCAAATAAGTTTAAATCTTTTAAAAAACTGCTCACTTAAGGGTATTGACACTACATTATTTTTGTTTTACTTTTTATTTTGAAATAAATTCAAACTTACAGAAAACTTGCAAGAACTGTCATATTCCTTTTGCCTAGGATCACAGTTGTTAGCATTTTGTCGTATTTATCATCCCGCCATATCTATATGTTTACACATGAATATATATATATTTTTTTTCTTCTCTTGAACCATTGGAGACATCGTGCCCCTTCCCCCCTGCACTTTGGGGATGTGTTTCCTAAGAACAAGGGCCTTCTCAAACGTGGCCACAGAGCAGTTGTCAAAATAAAGAAATCCAATCGTAATGTGGTCCATATCCAAATTGTGCTGTCACGGGACTGTTTTCCTGTCCGGGACCCCACCCAGGGTCATGCCTGTAGTCACTTCTCTCATCTCTTTAGTCTCCTTTGATCTGGCACTGTATGTTAACCTTTTTCTCTCATGACATTGGCATTTTTGAAGATATGGGCAGTTATTTTGTAGACTATCCCTGAGTTGCTGTTATAATGTTTAATTTTGTGGTGCAATTCTTTGTTTATCCTTGTAGCTTTTAGGAGAGTATGAGTCCCTTGGAAAAGAACACGAAAGAGTGAAGGTAATGTTGATTGTTCATCTTCTGACCTTCATGTAGGGGCAAAAGCCTTAGACTGGAAATCAGATCTGACCCGTCTCCCTCCTCCGTCCCCATCTAGCTGTTTGACCCAGAGCACTCGCTCATGCTCTTTGAGTCATTACTCTTGTTGTCACATGTTTAACTCACAAGTTTGTTGGATTCATTAATTTAACAAATACTTATTGAATGTCTCTTGCTTTTGAGATGAAACTTTTAGAAGAGTATAAGATACCATATAGATGCAAATAATTAATACTGTTTAAATAGAAAGCTTTGTTTTTCACAGCATTAGCTTTTCATGGGGTTGAGTTTATGGATTATGTTTGAATTCTTAATTAAAACTCTGTTTGGGAACTACCTATATGTACTCATTGAAACCCTACAATAATGCTGTAAGTGCGGTCGTATTTCTGTTGTGTGAAACGCAGGGTTGCGATTATCCGAGGTCAGTGAAGAGGCCTGCACAGCTAGGCAGCCAAGATTCTGGGGGGTCAGGAGCCAGTCTTTATGTCTGAAATCTCATCATCACAGATACTTGTTTTGCCATTTACTGAGGTTTTAGTCGTTTGTGGTTAAAATGTGTCCATTTTAACCCTAGATTGTTTCTAACCAAGCAAAGTGTAAGAGGCTATGCCTGTTACCAGGGGACCTGCACACGGCTGTTGTATAAACCGGTGTTTTGCTCTCATTTTTTCCCTTGAATTATGGGTATTGGCTGTGTGGTTGATGCCATACTTCCCAAGTGTCTGCCTAATTTTCTTTGTAGCTCTCTGGTATAGTCTTAGGTTAATACTGTGTTATGCGTTTTAAAATAAAAGGAATACGTTTGAATACTTCAGTTATCTGAATTTTTTCCTTTATTTTTGTAGGATACATTAAATACAACTGAGAACAAATTGCTTGATGCTCATACTCAGATTTCTGATTTGAAAAGGTAAAATATATTGTCTTACTAATAAAAAAACACCTCTAATCGTTCTTTTAGCACTTAAACGTGTGTCTTTATTGAAAGTGATGAAAAGAAAGCTTTTCTTGAGGATTTTTAAGTACCTTGAAGTTAGGTTTAATCCTAATCTTCCCCTGACCTGGAGATATGTTTGATTTTAGCCAAAGAAGACTTTTAAATGATTACAATATATTGGTGGTTGTGCCTAAAAGGTACATTTCCCCAGACATTATGTATTTTCTCAGCATTGGTAAAATCTAAATGATATTAAACCATTGAAAATAATTTTAAGAGGCAGTCTAGTTCACTGAATTAGTTTTGTGCTCCAAAAAGAAAATAACATTTACACCAATTTTGTGGTCATCTGCCTTCTTTAAGACCTGGTTTGGGGACTATATTCATGATTTGGTTTACTTAATTAGGTAGGAACAGTCATGAATGGTCCCTGTGGCACATTATTAGATATTTCTAATTGACTTTAGAGCATCTTTTTATTTTAGGAGATAAATGTCCCTTATTTAGGGATTTTACTGCTCTCCTAAGGACTTTCCATGGGGCGGGACAGAAATGCTGTCCAGCTTTCTTCTCTGCTCAGGTCTTTTCAGTGATGCATTCAGTTCCAGAAACAGCTTCTTTATCAGGTTGGTAGAAAGCATCAGCCCTGTTAGAGCTGCGGTTCTCAAACCTTCCTTGCAACAGAGTAGGTAAAAGTTTGAGTCTGAAAGATGAGACGAAGACATATACAAATTTAAAAGAACAGAAAGAATGTCAAGATATGCTCTGAACAATTAATTGGCCAGAGTACTTGTTTTCTGTTGGTAAACTTGAAAATAGGCTATTATTCTCAACACGGCACAAATTAGATGAGCTGCCTGTAGGCTGAGTTGTCCGGGATGGGAAGTTATTTTAATAGCTCTGCTGTTGGGTGTAAGCCTGCTTCCTCTTTTGTGAGAGTGTTACCTGTACATATTTCGTATGCATGAATCCATACATATTAGAATTAAACATGTTAGAATTGCAGTTTCTTTGAATACTTGAATTTATTTTGTTTTTATTTAATTTGTACCCTGTGTGTTTTGATCTGTAGTTAAATTTATAAATTTTTTTTAACTTACTGTGTTAAGTTCATTTGTTGCTCCCTTTTCCTTCAGCTGTAGTGTATGAAATGCTTCTTTGTAGAGTGTTTTGTATTTGCCTTCCTATTTATTCTTCCTGATTTTGTTGAAGTTTAATGGTGGCATCTTACTATGAAAAAGGTTTATGGACTTGCAGCTCTATTGTGACCTCTTTCCTAGAAGTGTCTGTTAAGTAAGTAATTTATAGTTGGGCTATATTTTCAATTTGTTGACATGTACTTAATTTATCTTATTGCTTTTGAATTAGAACAATTTCAAAACTTGAAGCTCAGGTCAAGCAAGTAGAGCATGAAAACATGTTAAGTCTTCGTCATAATTCTCAAACTCCCCTGAGACCGTCACGTGCCAAGTAAGTTGTTTCGTTTAATCTCTGTAAGCTTGAAATAGGTGTATCCTTTTATTGAACTGAGAAGCTCATCTGTCTAAATCATGAGAAAGGGTTAAATATGATCATAGAACTTAGATGTGTAAAAACATCTAATTGTTAGATGTCATCAAAGCTCTTAGGCAGAGGCATTTGCCAGGAGGGAATAGTGGAATCAGATCGGGAGTAAGGAGACTTGGGATATTTTTGTTTTTTGACTCTGCCCAGCTGTGTGACCTTATGCAAATCACTTAATTTTTTTGGAGCCCACTTTTATCATCTTTAAAAACAATGACATTGGTCTAGAACGTCTCAAAAGTTCTTTTAGCCCTAAAATTTCCCAAATTTTATTCCTGTGTTAATGGAAAGACCTATGGAGATGGATCTTCCTTAGGTCGTGTAGTTTTTTCTTTTTAGTTTTTCAAAATTGTCTTTGTTATAATTTCAGAGCATTATGTTGATATGTTTACAGAATAAGTTTTTTCCATATTAGAATTGGTTTTTATTATGATTTTGGTGTAAATAAAGAGTGTTGAATGAGTAGATCATAACTTCATAATATTGATGTTTATCGGAAAAAAGATTAAGTTGTAAACTTTAACCTTTCTAAATAATAATTGTCAAGTGGGAAACTTTTCCTAGGTCTTTGTTAATTAATCTTAGTAGAACATAGTGAATTATCTAAATAAAAAATTATGTAAGTAAGTGAAATGGAACATTTGAGATTGAACAAAATGGAAGCTAGGGTTGGGGTCAGGGAAGGCCTTTCTGTGGAGGTGACATGTAAGCAGAGAGGTGAGCTGTAGAGTTGTTCCAGCTGGGCATGTGGAGGGAAGGAGAGGGATGTCCCTGGCAGAGAAATTGGCCTTACTAAGTGCTGAGGTAAGAAAGAGTTTACTTTATGCTCAAAGAACCTGAAGGAGGCTAGTATGGGCTGAATATTGCCAGCAAGGGGGTGAAGCAGCCCCAGATGAAATTGTCGACCCGGCATCTATCACTTTCTGAGCCGTAGCTGGGAATTTGGATTTTACTCTAAGTCCGTTGGGAAGCCCTTGAATGGTTTTATATAGTAAAACTGTGTCATCTGTTTGCTATTTTGTAAGTGTACCTGCCATGAGGAGGAGATGGAGATGGAAAGAATGGAAGGAGAGAGACTAGGTAGGCTATCGCAGCGCTAGGAGAGAGAGGGTGTCAGCCGTAGAAATGGACAGAAGAGAAGAATTTGAGAGAGAGTCTGCAGGTAGAGTCCACAGAACGTGGCTGTGAATTGGATGGCAAGGTAAGAAAGGGAGGTGTCGGGTTAACGCCTTCATTTCTGTCGTAAACGACTGAATACCACATGTTGAACATGGGAAGAGCAGACCATCGGGTAAAGATCAGAATTTCCATCTTGAATATCTTAGTTTGAGATTCATGTGAATTCCAAGTGGAAATCAAGCAGGCGATTACAAATTTGCGTTTGGAGCCAAGAAATAAGGTCTAGGCTGGAGTTATAAATGTTGGTGTTGTCTTTCTAGATAGTGCTTAAAGCCATAGGATGGATGGTTGTGTTTAGTGAGCAGTGGTCCCAGGACAAAGCTCTGAAGAACCCCAGTGTTTTGATGTCGGGTAGAGAAGGAGTTGGTAAAGGAACCTGAGAAAGAGCTGCCAGAAAGCTAGGAGGAAAACTGATGGCAGTTGCCTGGGTCGAGTGCTGCCGAGAGAGAAGTGAGAGGAAGGTTGAGAGGGTCTGTGGGATTTGCAGGCGGGAGGCTATTGGTGACCTAGAGAGCAGTTTGGCTGGAGCGATAGAAGTGGAAGCCAGTTGGTAGTGTATTGAAGAGAGAATGCAAACAACCTAAACGTCTAACAGCTGGAACATTAATATACTGTGATATGCTTATACTATACAGCGTGACAGTGCCAACACCAGACCAGGGGTTGGCAAACTACAGCCCCAGGCCAACTCCTGGTACACCTGTTCTTTTAAGGTCTGTGAGCAAAGAATCGTTTTATGTTTTTAAATGTTTGAAAAAAAATCAAAGAGTAATATTTCATGATACGTGAAAATTATATGAAGCTCATATTTCAGCGTTCATAAATAAAGTTTTACTGGAACACACCAAGCTTTTTCACTTACGTACTGTCTGTAGCTGCTGTGCACTACAATAGCGAAGCTGAGTAGTTGTGGCAGAGACTGTCTGGTGTGTAAACCCTACGATAGTTATCATCTGGCTCTTTACAGAAGAAATTTGCTGACGCCTGAACTAGACCGTCAACGTAGTTTATTCTTAAGAACATAATGTGGAACAACAACAAAAAACTAGTTGCAGAAGAAATAGGATGGATACTATTTATATCGACTTGAGCATGTGAAACTTCTGCACGTCTTATGGATTCATACAGATGTAGTGAAAGTATAAAAACACGCATGAGAATGCTGAACACAAATTACTATCAGCGGTTGCTTTTGGGAGGGATGAGATTGGAGAGGAACTCAGGGGACTCTAGTTGTGTCCGTAGTGTTCCACTCTTTGGAAATCTAAAGAGGATGTAGCAAAGGATCAAGATTTTATAAAGTGGGATGGTTGGTGCCTGGGTATTATCTGTATATCTATGCATGGTTGAAATATTTTATAATTTTAAAATCAACAGGAACCGATCAAGGATTAGTATTCAGAATATATAGAACTCCTACAAATCAATAAGAAAAAGAACCTCCTCAATAAACAAACAATAAAACCTCTTCAGTAAACAAGCAGTTCACATAAAAAGAAACCTACATGGCTAATAAAAATGAAAAGATGCTCATTTCGCTAGTAGTCAGAAAAATGCAAATTAAAACAATAATGGGAGGCCACTCACACCATCAGACAGGCCACACTTACAGTCTACTCATTGTAAAGTTTGCAAAGATGTGAAGAGCTAGGAACTTGCAAACTCCTGGTTGGACTGGAAATCAGTACAGCTCATCTGGAGAGTGGTCAGTATCCAGTAAGACTAAAGACGTGGACACCCCAAAATCCACAGCTCTAGTTTTAGATATTTACCTTAGATTCTTACACCTGTCACTTGCAGCATTGTTAAAGGTGATATATTCGAACCTAAACATCCACCAACAAGAGAAAGGATAGATAACTGATATATTCATACTGTAGATAAATGATTAAAATGATAGAGCTTTATGTATTAACATGAGTAAATCTCAAACATGATGTTGAGTAGGAAAAGCATTAAATGGATGTCTATGTTATACCTTTTATGTAATTTAAAAAATACAAACAACAATACATGTGTAATTTTGCCTTAAAATTAAAAAAAGTATGGCAAGATGTTAGCATTTGTTAAAACTAAGTATGAGTGAGTGTGTTACAATGTTCTTTGTAATTTTCTAACAATTTTTGAAATGTTTCTTAATTTAAAAATTGAGGAAAAAAGGAGGAAAGGAGTGACTGGAAGTTGAAATGAAAATAGATAGAAGGGGCAACTTTTTTTTTTTTTAAGGCAACCTTTCTTTGGTAAGGACGATTGGCCCTGAGCTAACATCTGTTGCCAGTCTTCCTCTTGCTCCCCTCCCCCAAAGCCCTGGTACATAGTTGTATATCCTACTTTTATTTATTTATTTTATTTTATTTTTTTGAGGAAGATTAGCCCTGAGCTAACATCTGCTGCCAATCCTCCTCTTTTTGCTGAGGAAGGCTGGCCCTGAGCTAACATCCATGCCCATCTTCCTCTACTTTATACGTGGGACGCCTACCACAGCATGGCTTGCCAAGCAGTGCCATGTCCACACCTGAGATCCGAACCGGTGAACCCCGGCCCACCTAAGTGGAATGTGCAAACTTAACCGCTGTGCCACCGGGCCGGCCCTGTACTTTTAAGTCATTCTAGTTCTTCTATGTGGGATGCTGCCACAGCATGGCTTGATGAGCAGTGTGTAGGTCTGTGCCCAGGATCTGAACTGGCGAACCCAGGGGCAGAGCGCAGGAACTTAACCACTTGGCCGTGGGGTCGGCCCCAGACACAACTCTTAAAAAGTTTGGTTGTGAAAGGGAGCAGAGAGAGGAAGGCAGGAGTTCTTGTGTCATGGTTTCTCTTTCTTCTCTGAATTGTGATGCGAGGTTATCACCTGACAGTCAGGGTTGGGGTGAGAGGTCTGAGGAGGCAGAGAGGGTGTAAGACAGTCGTATTGGAGAATCGGAGCTCGCTGAGTACAGGAAAGCTGTGTTGTCAGCCAGTGTCGGGTGTCCACTTGAGATGGTGATAGTGATTCTGTAATGATACCCTAGTCTGCATTGGGTGACTTTTTTCCAGCAAAGCTCAACTGTAGGAGTGTAGACACTAAGAAGTGAGATCGTTATAGTCATCAGGGTTAGGTTTTTGCTGCCAGTCAGGTGTGATGGAAGGTGAGAGGGAAGGGAGTCAAGGCAGTGAATCAGGAATAGGTGGTCCAGAGTAGGTAGAGAGGAGCTAGGAAAGCCGGGAGGGGTTAACGTGTAGAAAATGGTGAGGCCGAGGATCGCAGGTCAGAGTGCTGTGTGTGGTAATGCTTGACTTGGGAGCCGAAAGAACCTTTGGAGGACTGGTTCCTTGAGCAGGGGCTGTGTTCTCTGGTGATGACAAAGTCCAGTGAGTGTCCTCTGAGGGGGGCAACTGAGGAGGAACAGAATCAGATCATTGGAGAGAGGTCCAGGACAGCCATACTTGTGGACGCTGATGCTGCCCAGTGTGAGAGGAGGAGCAGGTGCGGAGAAAGTGAGTCAGGTTCCGAAGTCCGGCAAACGACCACTAATGTATGATGACGTGAGCCTCAGACGAGCAGGGTTTTCATAAGAATGTGGGAGAGTAATGGTCTAGAAGCGCATGGCTCAATAAGTAGTGCCAGGAGCCACGTGCGGCTATTTAAATTTAATTTAATTTAAATTAAATAACATTTAAAAATTGGTCCTTCAGGGGCTGGCCCCGTGGCCAAGTGGTTAAGTTCACGAGCTCTGCTTCGGTGGCCCGGGGTTTTGCCAGTTTGGATCCTGGGCGCAGACATGGTACTGCTCATCAGGCCATGTTGAGGCAGCATCCCACATGCCACAACTAGAAGGACCCACAGCTAAAATATACAACTATGTACTGGGGGGATATGGGGAGAAAAAGCAGAAAAAAAAAATTGGCACCTGAGCTAACAACTGTTGCCAATCTTAAAAAAAAAAAAAATTGGTCCTTCAGCTTCACTAGCCACATTGCGGGTGTTCAGTAGCAGTATGTGACTGGTGGCTGCTCTGTTGGCCTCTGCAGATAGGGGATGTTTCTGTTTTTGCAGAAAATTCTGCTGGACCGTGCAGGTCTGGGAGGAATGAGCCAGACCTGAGCTGTGGTGGGATATGAAGGAGGTGCAGTGTGGGCAGTGAGGCAGTGGGCTCTTTGGGGCTGTTCAGAGCTGTGTGGATGTGAGAGTACCTGAATCTTGACTGCGATTCAGGAATGCTCAGAAGTAACAGAAACCTAAAATAACAATTCAGTTGGATCTGAAAACCGTGAAATAGAATTCATGTATCTAAAATAAGATTGTTACATGCAGTTTTTAAATTGCTGTGCAATGTGTAAGTAATATTTGAAAGCAGGTCATTTTCGATATGTGCTCGGTCTAAATTGAAGCAGAACCCTTATAATGCCGCTGAACTTTTCTCCCTCTCACAGCACACTAGCAACCTCAGATGTCAGCAGGCGGAAGTGGTTGATACCAGGAGCAGAGTATTCCATCTTTACTGGCCAGCCCTTGGACGCCCAGGATAGTACAGTGGATAACCAGCTGGAGACCTGTGTTCCTGGGTAAGATAGCCTTGTCAAAGATCCTATTTAGGAACCATTATGTTCTCTTAGAGATTCCAGTTGCCTTTAAATGTGCAGGAAGGTGTGAAGAGCCATCTCCTTTTTTCTTTAATGTCTTAATTTTGAGCATCTGATTTTTACTTTATTTTGAAAGGCTAGTGCTTTCAGGATTTTACTCTCATGGGCTCTGCAGAGCTTCCCGTGCTGTGCTCCTGGCTCAGTGGTGCACCATGCATGGGCTTGTGGTTAGGACAAGATGTAGATCCTCTCGCCCTCCGGGTCGCCCGGGCCCACATAAGCAACCTCATTCATTTACTCCAGAGTGCCACATAAATATAATATTTCTATATGTGCTAGGATGTGAAAAGGATTGAGAAGCGCGGGTGTGTTATATGCAGGTTCGGGTGTAATTTATTTGCATTGGGAAGCATACATATTCATTGTGGCGTATAATTGTGAATGCTCATGTTATTCCCCTAACAATCCCAGTAAACTGTGTGTCTCAGTTCAGGCTGCTATAACGAATTACCATACACTGGGTGGGTTTAAACATCAAACATTTATTTCCTACAGTTCTGAGGCTGGAAGTCCAAGATGAGGGGGCCAGCATGGTTGGGGTCTTGGTGAGGACCCTCTTCCTGGGTCTCTCCTCACATGGCCTGTCCTGGGTGCATGCATGCAGAGACAGGTCTATTCCTCTTTTATAAGGACACAAATCCCATCGTAGGGGATCCACCCTCAGGATCTCCTCTAAACCTAATCATCTCCCCAAGACCCCAGATAACCATGACAGTGGAGATTGGCGCTTCAACGTAAGAACTTGGAGCGGCACAGAAATTCAGTCCATAGCACTGTGTGTCCTGTGATTATCATTTAAGGTACCATTCTCCTCCGGAAAAGGATTCTTCCCCTGGAAGTACACCAACAAGCTTATTGATAAAAAAACAGAGAGAGACTTCAGACACACCAATCATGAAAGCTTTGAAAGAACTCGATGAAGAAAAAATACTTAAAAATTGGGGCACACAAACAGAGAAAGAAGACACGTCAAATAGTAAGTATTTTATTCCTTGTTTCATATAGATAGATACATAGATATCTTCTCCTTTCTCTCCCAATTATATTACCTTCTTTAAAATGAAATTCCTCAAGTAGTGAAATAAAAAGTTTATTTTACTCCTGCCTGAGCCCCATTTCATAGATAATTGAATCCCCTAGTTAATAACTTATCACAGTCATGGCAACACATACCTTTTATACAAAGCAAATTATATGTTACATTCTGATTATTAAAGATTGACCTGGCATTCTTAAGGATATTTGACAAATTTCTACATCCGTTTGTCTTACTTGCACACATGGAAAACTTATGACAGACATTTGGTAATCGTAAATGAAGATGTTGCATTTCCTACTCTTCCTTGCTTGGTTCCTGAGCATCTATCAGTGGGACAGGAAATATCTGTAATACTGTTTTGTTGCAGGTCCTTGTGCTTTCTCTGGAGCTTACTTGGTTGAGCCTGCTAATCACGTCATTAACGTCTTTGGTGTTGCTTCTCCAAAGCAGTATCTCCTAGTAAATAAATTAGTGACCTGATTTCTAAAAATAAACTCTGTTGAAAAAATCACCTTGAGTGCCGGTTGTAAACAGGGAATCAGAATGAATCCATTATAAACTCCCACATTTTTCTTCATCAAGCATTTTTTATGATGATAATGTGGTGCGTTTGCAAATAATCATTAGAACCTAGGTACTGAGGTTAATTGCTTGCTTGGCGTAACTGTCTGTTAATAAAGGCAGATAGCTGAAGCTGGGTTTGTTTTGTTTGATTTTTTTCCTTTACATTTTTCTGTTATAGAATTAGTGAACCCTCAGCAAAGTGAAACTTCAGTCAATGCAAGTCGGTCCCCAGAGAAAGGTGCCCAGCAAAGACAAAAGAGATTTAATTCTGCTTCACAGAGATCGTCATCTTTACCACCTTCAAATCGTAAATCAAGTACTCCAAGTAAGAGTTCGATGTCTGTATCTCTTGGGCTCGAAAGAGGGATACCTCAGTCGTGCACACGGTTTGATGTTTGTCTCCCTTATCCTCTCCCTCACATCTGGTAGTGTGCTCAGAGCACAGGATCCCTAAATAGATCTTGTCAATAATAACGTTGTCTGAATGCACAGATACGATGACTACAACTGAAGAAATTCTCAGTTTATTGAAGTAAGATTTTTGGTGTGTCCTGCAAATTTTTGGCAACTAATAGTACGTCACAGTTTTTGACATGGTAGACAACCGTCTAATTAAGCATTAGTTCAAACAAATTAAGCTAGCCTGAAAAAGGTGATGTTTTTCATACATTTACCTAAGGTTGCTCAGCATTAGTCACCTTTTTCTTTATCCAATTACAAGTATGGCTTTAAAGTTACGCATTGGATTTCCATATCCTCAATTCTGTGTTCATAACAGCAGAGGAGATTCGTATATGACTGTTACAGGAATGCTCGCTAGCACTCTGGTGTTTCCATCTTATTTCCAGTCGACTTCTAAAATCCTGAAAAACCAGTTTTGAGTCAGAGTGCTGAAACTACAGTCTGATATACTAAAATGTTGACAGTGGTTCCCTCTAGACGTTAGGATTATGAATTATTTTTATTTTGTATACTCTTATCTTTCAAAAAGTTTTTATTTTTAGTTTTTTTTATTGAGTTAATGATAGATTACAGTCTTGTGTGATTTCACTTGTACATTAATGTTTGTCATTCGTGTTGTAGGTGCACCACTTCACCCTTTGTGCCCATCCCCCACCCCACCTTTCCCCTGGTAGCCACTAATCTGTTCTCTTTGTCTACATTTTTAAATTCCTCATATGAGTGGAGTCATACAGAGATGATCCTTCTTCAAAAAGTTTAACAATGAAAATGTAATTCCTTTTAGAGTTTGAAAAAACGTCCTGAAAAGGAAACTATGTTCCACCAATATGACACACATATAGAAGGAAAAAATATTTATTTCCTCTTTGTTTTCTTCTGTAGCAAAAAGAGAGATTATGTTAACACCAGTGACTGTGGCTTATAGTCCAAAGCGATCTCCTAAAGAAAATTTGTCTCCAGGATTTAGTCATCTGCTTAGCAAAAATGAAAGCAGTCCGATTCGGTAAGTTCTGTAAAATTGTAGAATAAAGTAGATATGTTATTGATTTTTTACAATGTCAACTTATGCCTCTAGCTATTACTGATTTTTCAGTTGTTAATGGAACCCTGTGGATTCAAATCATTTAAATGATCGTCGTACTAAAAATAGAAAAGCACTATAATACATGGAAACAGTTTTTAAACTACATAAACTGGCTACTAGTAAATTTTAAATACCACCTTAGAACCCCTTCTAGTTTTTGGATGTAGAATGATAATTCTTTGTTTTCCTGAAAAGGTGTACGATATGGGGAAATTCTTGAGCCATTTGTACAAGAAAGTGGGCTGTCCTGGTATGGCCCTGGCACTAAACCTAAGTTTATGTGTGCTCTGGAGAAAATTGTCCTCTCTGAAGTGTGGTCAGCAGGACTGACTCCTAAGACAGGAGAGCTGGTTTCCCAGCTCCATGAGGCTCCTGGAGAGATTACCTAAGCACATTGAGCCTCAGTTTCCCCTTCTGTAAAACGGGGATAATAATGCCTGCCCTGCCTATGTTATAAGGTTGTTATAAAGATAAATTGAGAGAATGTATGGGGAAATGCTTGAAGGCTCTACTATGTGCATATAATTTTGTGTTTGAAAATATATGTTAAATTCCAGTTTTAGAAAATTATATGACCGTCTTTTTTTAAAGACAAAAATATAGATATGTGAATTAACTGGATGCCAGCTCATCTTTCTAGTGGAGATAGGGAAAATCAGTTAACATTTTTTTCTCACAAGTAACTTGCTTCATTCAATAGATTTGATATACTTTTGGATGATTTAGATACTGTTCCTGTGTCTACGTTACAACATACCAACCCAAGAAAACAACTCCAGTTTCTTCCTCTAGATGGCTCAGAAGGTATCTTTTACTAAAAAATTATTACTTATGGCTTTAAGTCATTCATTTTGTGAGTTTCTGGTATTGTTTTAAGGTTCTAAATATTATAATACCCTGCACTTAAATATTTTTCTACCCAAGGGCCTCTAAAAATAAGCATTCATGATGCTCATATTGTGTGTCACTGTTGTTGTCCTCATTGAAAAATAGGGAAACTGAGGTACAGGGAATGTTAGTGTTTAACTACCAGGGCCATACTGTTCAGTTTTTTTTTTACAGTCATGCATCGCTTAATGATGGGGATGTGTTCTGAGAAGTGCATCGTCAGGCGATTCCGTCATTGTGCAAACGTCACAGGGTGCTACACACACCGAGACGGTGTAGCCACTGCACACCTAGGCTTTTGGACCACCATCATGTGTGTGGTCTATCCTTAATGAAAACGGCATTATGTGGCGCATGACTGTACTTTCGTATTCTATAACTTATGTGCAACTTAAGCTTTGAGTGATTTTTTTTCTTTTTTCTCATTTATATTTTAAGTTTGGAATAAAGTTATAAGATAATGTATATGAAATCATTTGAGTCGGTCCTTAAAATGTTAATGTTGGTGTGTGTCCAGTGAATGTGGTGCTTGGTTTTTAAGCTTTTTCGCTTTAAGTTTACTTACAGTGCATTTGAGTTTGCATGTGTCCATTAGGGAAGTGGTGAAGCTTGTCAAACTGAGGGCAAAGCTTTTAGAATTCTGTGGAGAATAAGTGCTGAAAAAATAAGATCGTAACCTATTTAGTATATATATGATCTATTAGAAAAATTGATAAGAAACAATTTTTTTTCTCTTGGACAGAAAAAAAATATTCTGAAAAAGCCACTGACACCCATGTTAATCATAGCTCTTCCCTTGAACTGTTGCCAAATGGAGTGAAGAAACCCTCTGTGAGAACAGCCTGGGAGAAGAATAAGTCGGTTAGCTATGAACAGTGTCAGCCTGCTTGCGGAGCACGACATGGTGATGATTTTGAATATACAGCAAAAATTAGGACCCTAGCTGAAATGGAGCGGTTTTTTGATGAACTTACAAAAGAAAAGGACCAGGTAAAAACAAACAAAATTTTTAAAAAATCTTCTTCTGAACTTAACCCTGATGTCTTAGGAATAGTCAGAAGGGAATTGTGGAGGCCAACCTATCCCAGGAGGTTGCCGTGGGTACCACAGCAAAGCTGCACCGGAATAGCGTGCGAGCCGAGCTGTCCTTGCTAATCATGACGGGAGGAACTTATGTGACGACAAGATGGACAAGAAAATACTAGGCTGAAGTCTTGTCTTTCCATTCTGTTACAAACCTCCCTGCCGGTAATTAGAATTCTTCTATTTTTATTTAAACATCTTTTTGTGTTAACAGATTGAGGCAGCACTAAGTCGGATGCCTTCTACTGGAGGACGAATCACTTTGCAGACGAGATTAAATCAGGTGAAATGTCTTAGTCTGAATCTGCTTTAGAGGCTGATGCTAGTCCGTGCTCCATTTATCCAGGATGATGTTTTTAAATCATGACTTTTAGGCACGCTGATGCAGTCGGTCAAAACTGTTGGCCTTGTGGCCGGCCTGGTGGTGCAGCGGTTAAGTGTGCATGTTCCACTTCGGCAGCCCCAGGTTCGCCGGTTCGGATCCCAGGTGCGGATATGGCACCGCTTCTCAAGCCATGCTGTGGTAGGCGTCCCATATGTACAGTGGAGGAGCATGGGCATGATGTGAGCTCAGGGTCAGTCTTCCTCAGCAAAAAGAGGAGGATTGGCAGCAGATGTTAGCTCAGGGCTAGTCTTCCTCAAAAAAACCACCAAACTTTTAGCCTTTATAGGAAGTCTTCGGTGACTATAGCATATTCTATAACTGCATGCTAGCTTTCACGAATAAAAACTGATTTTACCTTCATACCTCAAGAAAAAGGTGGTCATGCCATTGTGGTTTCAAGAAACTAACGTTGGAGCAAATGGCGATATGCCTTATCAGATTTTACATTGTTAAATTAATGTTCTCACATGAAATCCCCCTTTTTGTGTTTGTTTTTTCCCCTCCAATCTGTAATTTATTTCTGAACCCCTTTCCATTTAGTAAACGTGTAAAACAGTTGCACTTTGCAGCTGGAATAGCTGTAGGGGTTAGAGAGAGAGAGAAAGAGAGGTGATTCCACTGTTGAGCAAGTGTGGCCTGTGTGTATTTTAGTTGCTTTTCAGAGAGAATTAAAATGCATGAAACCATGGGACATTTTAAATCTGCTCTTTTTGTAACATTTTAAACATAACAAGTATATGTCTCTTATATAACTGCATGTTTTGGCTTTTCAGTGCCTTAACTCCAGGAAAAGTTCATTTTCAGATTGATCTGTAATACCAGAAGGGAAGAAAAACACAATGAAAATAGCAGAGGTCTTTTTCTAGGGCCTGTGTCTCTAACTTCTCTTTTTTTCTGTCTTTGAGTCTTTTTATTGTTCTGAAAGTTTTTATTTAATAAGTTATAAGACTCAACACATGAAGCTCTTCTTAAAATAGTTTACTGGAAAAGCAGAAGAAAAACTTGTTGATATTCAGATTCTAAATCTATCTGAAACGTTTGTTTAATGTATTTTTATATAATGATTATAAGCGCTTAAAATAAGACTTAAAGGGTGTTAATTTCTGTTTATATATGTCAAACTAGTTCAGTCCAGTAAGAAGACAAATGGCAGCAAAAAGGGGATGAAGATGCATATATATGATTTATAAGTGAAAAAGGTAAAATTGGGCAAAAAAAAAGATGAAAAATATTCAGCCTCCCCAGTGAATAAAAAATATATATATACATTTAAACAAAAGCATCATTTTTTTTTAAGCTATTACATTGGCAGATATGTCTTAACAACATCCAGGATGGGGAAAAGCTTATTCCCATACACCATAGGTGGAAGTAGAAATTGTTACAGACTTTCTGGAGCACAGCTTGACATGTGTCCAAAACTTTGAATTTTGTATTTCTTTAGACCCAGCGTTTTTACTTCTAGGAGTGATTCCTAAGGCAATACTTACAGATATGTGCAAAGAGATATAGGTATGTGCAAAGAGTTATGTTTAAGAATATTTATTGGAGCATTATTTATGATATCTAAATTGGAAGCAACCTAAATTTCTACTAAAAGATTCTTGGTTAAGTATGGTATATCTGATGGAATATTGCACGTTAATTTAAAACAATATCATAGAAGGATATATTTCATAACAAGAAAAGTTGATTTGGAAAACATTTTGAAGTAGAGAGTTTGATTCTGTTTTTATTTTTCTTCTTAAAAATGGTGTGCATATCTGCAGAAGAAACAGGAAAGAGGAACAGTGGTGTATTACTTTTTACTCATCTGTCTTCTAAATATTCTATAATGAAAGTGTAATCTTTTTATAATTACAGTTAGAGAGAGAACGATTTTTTTAAGAGAAAATTAAGTTTTATTTCAGGATACCATTGGAGCTAATACTGAATAAAGTATTTAAAATAATATATATTCCAGGTACTATTTATTTAACAGTAGTACTATTTATTTTTATTTATTTGGGTTTTTTTGAAGAAGAAGATTAGCCCTGAGCTAACATCCATGCCCATCTTCCTCTCCTTTATATGTGGGACGCCTACCACAGCATGGCTTTTGCCAAGTGGTGCCATGTCTGCACCCGGGATCCGAACCAGCGAACCGCGGGCCGCCAAGAAGCGGAACGTGCAAACTTAACCGCTGCACCACTGGGCTGGCCTCCTATTTATTTTTAAATAGCAGTTGTTAGATTAATTCATTGTGAAATCTCTTGTTCTTGGAAGTCTCCTCCAGTGTTCTTTTCCTTTGTAAAGAAATTTTGGTCGTAAGAGTTGATAGACGTGAAGGTGGGATATGGCACCCCTCAGCCGTGTCCGTTTCTCCTGGTGAAATGTGTGAAGTGCCTCCCAGGTTCCTCTTGCATCTTGTTCTCAGTTCAGCGAAGTCAAAGTGTGATGTCCTGCCTCTCGGCTGTGTTGCTATCACTAGGATTTCCATGTGCTCAGGGTACCAACATGCTGAGAATATTTCAAAGTGCAGCAGTTCTTTTGAATGCTTGCAAAAGTTGATTCACGCTGTTGAGTTGAAGAGAAATAATATAAAGGTGACGTGTAAAAAAACAAAATAATTTTGTAATTTTACTGTTTATACTTATTGTTTGCTAGAAGAAAGGTTGGTTTGGTGGTAATTATTGAACCGGTGAACTTGATGTAGAATTCTAATTGAACTTTCTCCATTATTTTCACCTAGGAAGCCTTGGAAGATCGTTTGGAAAGGATTAATCGAGAACTGGGCTCAGTTCGCATGACTTTGAAGAAATTTCATGTTTTGCGCACGTCTGCAAATCTCTGAGATTTGTAGCCATTAAATTTTGAGACATTTTTGTTTGCACTAATGTATAATTACGCACTCAGAAAAGGCAAACTATTTTGTACTGTTTATAGGCCTTCAAACAGTAGTTTTACAATCATGCTCTTCTTTACACTTGCTATTTTATACTTCAAATGGCCACATATTTTCAAGATATTTTTGTTATGCTCAGGAATCTCTTGTATATTTTACTATTTAAAAAGTATTATTTTTAAATAGTATATGTCTCCAATTTATATCAAGAATAAGGAAACGTGAACACTGGAGGCAGCTTGTTTCTAAATAGTGTTATCCTTTTACAATTAACTTTGCACACCAATTTTATAAACTTGTTCTACATTGTGAATATGATTTTTTAAAAAATAAATGCATAAGAACAGCTTTCATAATGATAGACTAATACATGCTGAATGCAAAAAAAATCTGGATTTTAGTTGTGTTGAGGTTTTTTAAAAATGATAATGCAGTTCCTTTTCGAAACATGTCTTAGAGTGAATATTAGAATAGTAATAATGGAAATAATGGAATATTGGAACGCTTTCAAAACTACATGAATATAACTCATTTTGTTTCTCTTAAACTTTATTGTTTATAAGGAAGGAAGAATGAGAGGGATGTAATTCTCTAATTTTGTCATATATGTTAGTACTTTTCAGAAAAAGTTGAACAATTGGAGAGCTGTAGCTTTCTGTCCATCATTCTGACCATAACTTGTGTCCCACCCTTGACGGTAGGTTGAGAAAGCTTTGAGGAAATGCAGGCCACCATCCAGTGAGGTAGTAAGAGCAGCCCTGGCTTCCTCAATGTGCAAGGCTTCAGCTGTCAGTCACTCGTCATGCAGACATTTGTAACCTCTCTCCACTCCCTCCACTCCTGCCAAAAAAAAAAATAAATGCTCCCATAGTAGATGTGGTAAGAACACTAGATTGAGATCAGAAAAAGCTACTCTGCTTGTTAATGGACAGAGACTATGTCTGGATAGAGCCTGGTGCCTTTGTGGCCTTGCTGGAGGGCTCCAGCCCATGGCGTTGGCAGCACCTCCTGGCCCTTGGAAGTAGCCCCTTGACAGGAGGCTGTGTGCTGATCAGGAGCTCTAGCAGGTCTGTGTCCTGTTTGCTGGTCAAGTCTGGGCTGTTTAAGTCCACTTTTTGGTTGCCTGTCAGAACCTAGCGCCCACATGTTTCAGCTCGACACATGATGATAAATGGACTCATTCCAAACTTTCAAAATTGATTCCCATTGAAAATGCTCAGGTTTTAAGTTTTGCTTTACTTTTGAGCTTATTCTTCTCCGCGTGTAGCTCTTAATAGCATATAGTTACAGTGCACCAAGCCAACCGTTATTCCATTAGTGGATATACATGCCTTCGAGCAGGGGTCTCAGATGACCTTTGAGTACCCTTCACCAAAGCTGCACCGGCTGGAGCTCAGCCGGGGGCCCATAGCCATGCTCCTTCTCAGCCTGGGGGGCTTCTCCGCAAGGAGGGGCCGTCTGACAGCCCCTCTCCTGCTCCTCTCGAGAACGGAACCTCAGCTCCCAGCTAGCTCCTGCACCCCAGTTGAAGATGCCTGTCTAATCAAAATTGCTCATAACAGAATCAAGTGCCTTTATTCTTGGTATCTTTTTCTAGCCTTTTTTTTTAATCTCATAGTGACAGTAAAGAAAAAGTTCATTTAATCAAGGTCCAGTACAGCTTGTGTCCAGACCTAATAAAGGGATTGACTTTACTGATGATGTTCCCTACAGTGTGTCCAGTATATGTTGTTAAGAGTGAACTTAAAATTATTAGGATCTTTCATTGTTCCCTATTTTTATTGTAAAGTCCGCTACCTTCCTAAGACTCGGAAATTGCCATTCAGAAGAGATTACAGTTTTATCTTGTCAAGGAGTTATCTTCTTAGTAGTCTGTACTGGCTTATTCCCAGAAAGGTATTAAGCTCCATCAACACATTTTCTGTGCCTCTCTCTCAGAAAACATGCTTTGATTTTTGAAGTGTGTAATAGATTGGAAGTATCAGTCACTTTTTTTTTTTTTAATTTTTTCTCTTCATAGCTGTGAAGAGGGAAACCAAGGAAAATCGTTTTAGCCGTCTCTCCCTTCGGTAATGCTTAACTTAGGACACTCAGCTCCACAACAACTCGCCCTAAAAGTGGAAAAGGTGGCCGTCTGAAAAAGCGACTCTTACCCCAGGGAGGTAAAGTGCTCTTGTTGCCGGCTGGGCTGAGCTGCAGTTAGTGAAGAGCTCAGTGAATCTTCTGTAGCGGGAAGTGCCTTCTCAAATGCAAATAGAGTTAAGGCTCTCCTTTCACCTGGCTCTGCCCCTGCCGTTCCCTTACAAAGCTCCTGAAGTGGGGAAACGCCCTTTGGGAGCTCCAGTTAAAATATGTGTTCCAGCCGAAGCAATAGTCAATGCAGCTCAGAGGGCGAGCCGGGATGCAGAAGCTGGGCCAGGGACAGGAGACCAGGCAGACCCAGGTCACACTTGGGCTCAGGCCTGCCTTCCTCTGCAGTAAAAGCTAAGATGAACTGATAAAAAGCTTCCATTAAGGGAGATTATATAAAGTGCCTGGTGCTTAGTGAATTTTCAGTAAATAGTACATTTCAGATTCATACTGAGTTAAACAGAATTTTGAAGTAGGGATTTAGTACTTTTTAAAAATAGAAAAGTAGATTATGTCCCCAGCAATTGACTTAAAAACTACATTGGGTTGGTTGACATTTCTGTTAAGTGGTCTAAGATGGTCTTTCCACCATTTTGCAAAAAATGAGCTTTCTTGGAGTTTAAATGAGCTTCCCTCTTGTGTGAGAGTTATTTTTTTTATGACAAAAAAAAAAGATAACCTGTTGAGTGTAAGTTCAGAAGCACTTTGATCTTAAAACAGGTAATTTGGAGTTATTTGATATAAATACAGGACATTTCCCTTTGAAAAGTATTGCCAATGTAATCAAAATAATTCCTTCCTTGAATGTTCCCTAGTTAGCTGTCTAAAGGTGACAGCCTGTGAAGGCAGGACTGCACAAAGGAGGTGCCTGCCACTGGCCGTTAGAAGATCTATATGAATATTATTATTTTATAGAGTTTGATAAGCAACCAAGACAGTCCCATTTTTAACTCAGAAAAGCCCAGGTGCTTTGCTGAATGCTATTTGCAGTCTGAACTCTGCACTTAGATATGTAGTAAAATTAGACATTTTTGTCATTTTAATTTTGAGATATCTCAAAAACTGTTTTCACTGAATTTTAATGTGCCACTTATGCTGTGAGTCTTTAAGAAGCTTTAAAAAATAAATGCACACCTTTAGGTGCCCTTTAGGAGTCATAAAGGTAAATCATATTTACCCATCATGAGTGATTGTGTATGGTTATGAGATCTGCAGGTCTGATTAAACCTATTGTATTGCACACATTTTGCAGGAAATAATTTCCTGCCCTGCCAAGAGTTGTGTGGCAGTTTGATCATAAACTCTACCCGTATTCTTAGGACCTGTGTTACTAAGCTTTCCCCTTCTGATTGGTGTTTTACTTCAATAGACTCCTCTCCAATGGGAGGAATCAAGCCATAAATTTGCATTTGCCGGACATTATACACCACATCATTGCTATGAGCACAGACTTCAAAGATAATTGTTTTATCTACACTTTCACAGTAACAGTGAGCAATATAATGTGAAAACTTTGCTTCCCGTAGTGCTGCTGCTGATTAGACAGACAAGTGCTTGTTGCGGTTAAATCTGGTCAGATCCTGGAGTGAAATTGTAAGCTCCACGAGAGCAGGGACCATGTCTCCTCCATTCTTGCGTACAGGCACTCAATAAATATTTGTGGCTGTGAGCTGTCTTGTGATATTGGTGTATTTATTCCTTCCAGCTAACTGGGATCTGGCTTTTAATAGTGTTGAGTCCTCTGAGTTAGTGGTTTGAGTACAGGCGTTGCAGCGTCCCAATGGTATCTGTCCAGGTGCTCAGTTCTGACTGGTGTACAGGCACTGAGCCTCACTCTGGAGCTCTGTGATGCTCTGAAAATCTTAATGGGTCTTAGGTACCTCTCGGTGGAGGGAAGGGGTTGAGGGTTTGGTATTTGATGGGACACCTTCACCTGTGCCAGTGTGATCATCATAAGACTGGTATTTTGAGGCGAGTCACGTAAGGGGGGCTTGCCTGGCCCATCCAGTCTCCAGTTCTGACAGTAACCCAAGGAGATGAACAGCCTCTGGTGGGTTTTGCTCCCCCTGACCTCGTCTGAACTCATCTTGGACTGCTTTAGTTTTGGTGTGCACTTGCCCTTCCAGGGGAAAGCCCTCAGGTCTCCTCTCAGCCATGTAAGGTGAGACTTAGTGGTGGGTGACTACCACTAGGTTTTAGGTGTGCCCTGGTTAATTCAGATCTTGGCAAACAAGTCCATCCTTGCTCAATCTAAATATACACTTAACATTTTGTTTTAAGTTTCACCCAATACCTCTTGGTCTCTTTATTTTCCAATTGGAGAGTCAAGATGAAGCTATTTCTCATCCTCTTCCAGTTCCTTCTTGAGGTCAAGGACTAGAACTTCACGCACACCCTCTGGCTACTGTGACTCCTACTACTTCTGATGGCCAGCGAGCATTTTCATTTTTCTTGGCCCAGGTCATATTTGGTGCCTTGGAAAACTCCTTGATGCCTATTTCCTACAAATGTGGTCTGTAACCGATATAGGTACCCGCATCTAAGTTTGGGCTTCAGTTAACTACCTTTGGCTTGTCCACAACATTCCAAAGGCCTTATGAAGCCCGACGCCCGTTGTTCCCCTAGATTTCACTTTACCCCCGAGGAACTTCGTTTTTTACAGCTATTTGAGCGACAATTCCCACGAGTCCACTCGCTCCCTCCCGCGGTGCCCCTGGCTCCGCTGGCACTGTAGCAAAGCCCCCCGGCAGACAAGCCCGGGGGCGTGAGGAGCCGAGGGGGCCTCCCCGCCGAGAGCGCGCCCAGGCCTGTGGGGCTCGGGCTGCGGGCGGGGGCGCAGCAGGCCGGCGGGCCGCCAGCGCGGGAGCCCCGAGTTCGCCAGGTTCTTCCGGCCGAGGCCCCGCGGGCGGCGGGCGGCGGGCTGTGGCGGGCGGGGGCGGCCCCTAACCGGGCCTCGCGCCGCTCCCCGCGTGGCCTGACGGAGGCGCAGGCCGCCGCCGAGTGAGGGAATGCGCGGCGGGCCCGGCGCGCGCGGGCAGCAGCGGCCGCTGGGGCGCGCGGGGCACGGCGGCGCCGCGCCGTAGGGCTGTCAAGCGGGTCGGCGCGCCCCGCGCCCCGGCCGCCGCCTCCCCCGCCCGCGGCCCGCGCTCCAGCGCGCAGAGCGCGGCGGCAGCACGTGCGCCCGCCCGCCCGCCGACGGCCGGGGAGCATGCCCGCGGGGGCCCGGCCGCTCGCCCGGGGCCAGCTGGCGGCGGCGGCGGCGCGCGGAGCCGCGGGGCGCAGGCGGCCGGGCCGGGGCCGCCGGGCGGGCGCCTCCCGGGCGGCGTGAGGCGGCGGCGGCCCAGCGCGGCGGAGAGAACGGAGCCGCGGCCGCGCCGAGCGGGTGAGTGTCTCCGCGGCCCGGGCCGGAAGGCGGCGCGGCCGGCCCCCTCCCCAGGCCCGCGGCGAGCCCCGGCGTGCCGGGCGCGGGCGGGCGGGCGGCCCCGAGAGGCCCGGCGGGAGGGCGGGGGGACCCGGGCCCCGCGCCGGGAGAGGGTGTGGCGCGCGGGGCCCCCAGTCTCAGGAAATCGCCCGAGTCCGGCCGCGGGAGTCGCCAGCCCTCCGGCTTCGGGCCCCAAATGCTCATTTCCGAATTTCCGTCGGTTGCGGCCGGGCGTGGAAGACTCCCCTCCCCCAGTGACAAGTGTCCCCGCGGTCAAGGGGCAGGTGTGCGGTGCTGGGCCTGGCGGTCCCACCCCGCGCTTGAGGATAAAGCGGGGAAGGGGCCGGGAGGAAGCGGTGGGCACAGCCCTAGGTCCAGCCTGCTGCCGCTTCCCACCGCCAGCTGGACGTCCCTCCAGCCCCGGCCGTGGCTGGGTGGGTGTTCGGGGCCCTAGCATGGGGTGCGGCCCTCAGAGAGGGGTCCGGGACTTAGGAAACGGTGCTCCCGGTGTCCTCCGTGGCTGGAGGAAACTCTGGCCCATCCGCATCCCGAGTCTCCCTTTTCTGTTGTAATCTAAGGTGCCAGCCGTGTCTTAGCGCCTGCGGCTTCCTCATCCACCCACCCCTCATCCGTTCTTCTCAGGGGCAGGGCTGATGGGTGACGGGGAGAGGGAAACTTTAGCGTCCGCCTCCCCCATAATGTGCGCTAACTCCCCCCTAAGAAACCCCACATGCACATTCTAAGTAAACACCGTGTGCTGGCTACGCAAATGTCATTTCAAAACAAGTCCTCTGGCTCTGTACCCTTTCAACAGACTTGCTGCCCCTATACAGAAATTCTAGATTCCTCCTCCCACCTTGCTCTCCCTACCTCTGAGATGTGGGCTGGGTCAGTTCTGGAAGCACTGGGGCCTGCCCATCTCCTCCCCTCCAGACTCGGGATTCTTCAAAGGAGACCTCATTTGAGCATCTTTCGGGGTCTACTACCAGCTCTCTTGCCAGCACCCACCGGGAGTCAGAGGAGCTGATAGGATAGACGCCCCCCTTTCTGTGGGGAAGGTTGTTAATGCTCCCCTTCCTTTGAATCCCGTCCACCACCCAGGCCCCCACCTGGACTATCCCTGCTCTGAACTCACCCTGCGCTTTATCTGTCTTTTGTGTGACTCTTATCACCGCCTGCCTGATTTTATAGTGACTTTTGTGCCTGGCTTATCTCCCCTGCTGGAGGACAGGGCTGGAGTTTGATTCATCCCTGATCTACCCCCCCCACCCCCCCCCACCCCCCCAACCCCACCCCCCACCCCCGCGTCAGCTCCCTTTGTGCAGCCAGCGTCTGGGTGGAGTAGGAGCCTCCTCCCTGGCTTGCCTCCGGGACCCTAGCTTGTCTGACTCCTGGACCGTTGCTGTTAAGTTATTTTTCTTCTGTTAAGAGACTGTACGCTGTGATCAGAAGAGATTCCTAGCCCTCACCCTTTGCAGAGAGAAACACAAGGAGTTAAGAAGGGCTATTTTTCTTGTAGGGAGTGACTTGCCAAATGACTAGGACAGTACATGCTCTGCTGTGATGGCCGGGCACAGAGTCTGGGTTCCCTGGGCAGGGAGCGTGGAATGGCCCTTCTCTCTTTGGCCTCCCACAGCTCACTGTGCAAGGGAGGCAGTAGGGTAGAGAATTGGAGGATGGGAGTCAGGGTTCCATGCCCGGCTGTCCCAGAACATCTGTATGAGCTTAACTAAGTCGCTTGGTTTCTCTTGGTCTTGGTTGGTGCTTATGGAATCTGAAAGAAAACTCCTTTGCATATAGGAGGCCCTTCAGGATCTGGGCCCTGCCTCCTCTCCCTTATCAACTCTCCATTGTGGAGACCCAGGCTGGTCTTCACTGGCCTTCCCGGGTAGTCTATCATCTCCACCTTTGGGCCACCCTAATCCGATTTGCCACATGGAATGGCAGTTAAATGTTTACAGGTGCCTCCCCGCTAGACTGAGCTCATGGGAGGTCAGTGCTGAACTGCTTTTCTCTATACCCTCAGTGCCTGGCCCATGGTCGGGTCTCAGGACAGTGTTGGATAAATGGGGAGAAGGTCAGTCTAGATGACTGCTGAGAGCCCTCTCCTCCCAAGGTGACTGCTTGTACACTCTTACAGGAAGCCGACTTTGCCTTCCTCCCTAGCCTATTTTCAAACCAGGCAGATATTCTCCGAACCATCCCATCCGTTTGAGTCTTTCCAGCTTGGTCTCGGAGAAGAGCTAGTCATGGAGAATGTGCTGTCATTTGTGGAGATTAGAAGAGGAAACTTCTGGTGCTTCAAGATCACAGCGCTGCTGCTTTCGGAACAGATGCCGGGGGGCCGTATGCTCTCAGTGGAGGGACAGCGATCTCACTCTTGCCACTTTAGCCGTGGACAGGAGAGGCAGTCAACCTAATACCACGTCTACCAAAGTGAGCGGTCACCTGCTTGCATTCCACTTCTCAGCCTTGCTCACACGAGACCAACGCCTCTGCAGACAGGCATCCTGACGTCTGCTTAACAGAATCCCCTGCCACCGGACACGGATGCAGCCAAGTGGTCTCTACACAGCTTCCCACAGGTCATTCCATTGATGCTTATTAATCTTTTACTGAGTACCTGGTATGTTATTACATAGAGCCGACAAATCCTCCATGCAGTTTGCTCTAAAACCATAATCTGGGGCATTGGCCCTCCTGCTCAAGGCATCTTACCAGGTCTCGTATGAAAATTTTTAGAATTTAGGGCCAGCAAAATTTACCTCCCCCAGGAGAAACTAAAAGCTTCCTCCCTTGATAATGAAAAGGAAGTTGGGGAAGGAAAACATGTATTGTTTGTGTATTCTGTGCACATAGTGTGTGCACGGGGCTTCCCCACCCATCCTGCAGGTGTTACCAAACAGGTTCGTTTTGCCCACCACACGATTATGCCAATCATCAAGATGAGGAGTTTGCCAAGAGGAAGAGTTTAATCACAAGGCAGCCAAGTGAGGAGGTGGGAGAACCAATCTCCTGGAAATGGGGACTTAGGGATATTTGTGAGATAAAGGGGTGGGGTGGTCTGAGTGTGGGAATAGATGATTGCAGGTGCAAGCATTGTCAAGCTCCAAGGCTCTTCCCCGGACGCATGTGCACAAAATGGTGGCGTCACCATGGTCTGAGGTGAACTTCTTAGCTGCCTGACATCAGGGGGGTCATCTACTCAGGCCCAGTTGATGAGTTGGTGGTCACAACTGGCCTGAACT